ACGGGTGCGGCTGAGTTATCTTTGGTTGGTCATCACCCCGCTGTTGTAGCCTTTCTGTTGAACAGGGGTCTGTAACAATATCGAGTTAAGTAGTTTGCAACGAACGGCTACGCTAGCGATAAGGAATCGCGGAAATGTAGGATGGTCATTGAACGAAGAAACTAAGCTATGTTATGAAGCTATTCAGGAGCTGGTTGCGATATGTGTGACAGCTCTGACGCTAGTCCCGATCGGGGAGTTAGGTCATAGGGTATCGCGAAGGAAGGTCTTCGGAGGCAGGTCACAGTCCGTGACATAGTTGATTGTTCAATAGTGAATAATATAGCCTATCTTTCAATACCTACAGTACAATATCAAGTAGCAAAGACGTAATAGAATCTCTCATGAAAAGTAATTAGAGCCTCTCGAGGACGGCCTATCCAGATAGTCAATCGACCAATTAGAGATATCATAACACTTCAATAATAACCTCGCGGAATACCTGGATTTATAGCCAATGGCACTCAAGTTCCAATTGGATGCCAGCGGGTAAGATTTAAACCTAAATGTCCCTGTTCGTGCCTCGCTGTACTTGGTAGAACTACTATAAAGAAAATCTACACTGTCTGCCCTCAGCCGGTCCCGCCGCTTTCTATTCTAATTCCTGTCTAGTGCTTACGGCCAAGCCTAACAAAGAACAGCCTCTGCCAGCTAGATTGCCCTCGCACGGCCCTAGAAATAAAGATATAAACATTGTTGCATGCTTCAAGCTAGGTCAACAGATAATCTTTTCCAGCCCTTCCATCTCGACATTCAATTTATATCCTAGAAGAAAAACAACCATGTCCAATCCAACCATCCTCCTGGTTCAAGGCTCCTTCCAAACTCCCCAAGTCTACTCCTCGCTTGTATCCAATCTCCAAAGCCTAGGATATCCCACCGTCCACCCAGCCCTGCCCAGTTGCACAGACACCGACCACGAGGACTTCCCAACTCGGACCCTCACCGACGATGCCCGCGCCGTAACCAGAGTCCTTGAAGAGCTCATCGAGAACGAGTCTAAAACAGTACTCGTGGTCATGCATTCGTACGGCGGGATCGTGGGATCTGAAGCGGTCCCCGAATCGCTGAGTTTCGCGCATCGTCAAAAACAGGGCCAGAAAGGGGGAGTTGTCCATTTGTTTTATTTCGCGGCCTTTGTGTTGGACGTCGGAGAGTCGGTCCTTGGGAAATTCGGGGAGTCGCCGAATAATCTCGTCTTAGTCGGTTTTCCTTCCCTGAATTGTTCAACTGAACAATATATCTGAGCGACAGCCGCTATGTCTTTTGTTGGAATGCAATAACAGCTGACGCTTCTTGTCTCTTGGTTAGCCCGATGGTCGCTTTCGCATCCTCAATGGTGCAAAGACCCTCTACAATGATCTCCCAGAGGTAGAGGCAGAGCTCTGGGAGTCGAGGTTGATTCCTCAGTCGTATGCTGTGCAGACGACGGCTGTGACGCGCGCAGCGTGCGAGTATATCCCGTCGACTTACCTGGTTTGTGAGAACGATGCGGCGGTGCCCGCGCAGTTTCAGGAGATGTTTGCGGGGATGGCCAAGGCGCAGGAGATTCAGAGGTGCAGTGCGGGCCATTCACCGATGTTGAGTCAGACGAGAATGCTAGTGGATAGGATTGTGGGTGTGGTTAACAAGGTTTCTGAGTTGTAGGCGTTATAGTGAGCCAGACAAAGAGAGATGTGAAGTAGAGCTAGGATGGAAAGAAAACGCTCATCCTTTAGGCCAATGTACCAGAGACTTGAGCAGACCCTGACATTCAACCAGCAATAAGCCGGACTGTTATACATTTTTATTTATCGACCTGTCTATCTATCCTACACAACCATTTAATACTTGGTGTACCGCAGGTAAGGCTTCAACTCCCTGACCTCACCAAACTTCTTCCGGGCATCCTCCGTCGACACCGACGGCGGCACAATCACATCCTCGCCAACGTTCCAGTTAATCGGCGTCGCGATGCCCTTCTTATCCGCTGTCTGCAACGAATCAATCACCCGCAACACCTCGGCCGAGTTCCGGCCCGTCGAAGCCGGATACATCATCGTCAACCGGACCTTCTTGGACGGGTCGATAATGAACACGGACCGAATCGTGAACGCGATGCCCTTCTCCGCGATGTTATCCAGATCCTGCTGGTCGATCATGTCGTACAAGAAGGCGACTTTACGGTCGGCGTCGGCGATGATAGGGAATTGCACGTTGGTGTTGGAGACCTCGTTGATGTCGTCGATCCATTTGTCGTGAGAGCCAAGGTCGTTGGCACTCTGCATTTCGTTGTTGGTTGGTTAGCGTGGGGTGGAAGTGGAGATAGTAGGCGGAGGGAAAAGAAAATAGGAGTGGGAGAGGGGCAAGGCAAGGCAGGGAAAACTAACCAGCCCGATCATCTTAACGCCCCGCTGGTCGAACTCATTCTTAAGCTTGGCAAATGCGCCGAGTTCGGTGGTGCAGACGGGGGTGAAGTCGGCAGGGTGCGAGAAGAGGATGGCCCAGCTGTCGCCGATGAATTCGTGGAAATCGATCTCGCCGTGAGTGGTGGTAGTCTTGAAGTTGGGGGCTATTCGATATTAGGAAGGCTATTCAATCATGTCTAGTTGTATCAAACACTTCTGGGTAAATACCGGTAGAACCAAGACGGATTCTGGGCTGCTCCTGCGGAACAGTCGCGAGGAATCGCCGAGCGAGGGGTTGAGGGAAAGACTGGGTGTGGGGAAGCTTGGAGGCGAAATTCACTGTAGTCAAGGGAGTGGCCCGGGGAAGAGCGGTGAAGGCGCGAAGGCCGGCACGGGGAAGAAATGAGGCCATTGTGCTAGAGTCTGGAGGGACGAGAAGCCGGGGTTGCTGAGGTTTAGATGAAGTGATGGATCGCGTTGATTTGACCGAACTCGGCTGCGTCGGCAAGATGACGTGATGGCGCCCGCCCTAGCCGTTTCCGGGCCTTGGCGTCTTGGCATCGTGTGGTGCCCCAGGCAGCTTTTTGGTATTTACCCGGCGGGATGAGACGATCTCGGGCTGCGTTGCGGGCAAAGATCATCCAACTTCTTCCTTCAGTATGGCTGGGATGCAGGGTTTACATATGCGAGTCACTTTATCCGCATTCACCGTACATATATATAAGCATGTCGAGGCATGTCGATGGCCTGACCAAGCTCTCGGTCTTTTACTCCATAAGGCCATACTATCGGATGAGACACTCGGTCCGACCTCAAATACCAACATCACGATAGTTGCAAGCTACAGCTGCAGCCAAGTCGCCAAGCCCCAGGAAGCGGGGAGGCTCGATCTAGTATACTCACTTGCTGAACACTCTTGTTTTTCTGATCCAGCAGGTTGTTCCACCAGTGATGTAGACTGTGTGGGCTCTTTTTTCTCTATTTAAACGATGGATTGCCCTGACTCTACCGTTGAAACTTGCATCCCTAGGTCTACTCACCGGACCAAACCCGGGTCAAGCAAAATGGCACTCGCTTTGCCAGACTGGAACAATCTTCAGCTCCTTCACAATAATACTTTGCCCCCACGTTCCCACTTCTATCTGTTTCCTGACGAAGCCACTGCCGCCACCGGTGACGCCAACCAAAGCTTCTATAAGTCGCTTAGTGGCCAATGGAAATTCAGATATGACACCTCCCCTCTTGTAGCTCCCTCGTGGGAGGAAATCGACCCTACAAGCTGGCCCGAAATCACGGTCCCTGGAATGTGGCAGCTGCAAGGTTACGGTAAACCGCAGTATACCAATGTCAACTTCCCATTTCCCGTGGACCCACCCAACGTGCCATCCCAGAACGAGGTTGGCTCCTACTGGAGGGAATTTTACGTGCCCTCAGACTGGGAGAAGGACGCTCGGATTCGGATCCGGTTCGAGGGTGTGGATAGCGCATTTCACCTGTGGTTGAATGGCCACGAGGTCGGATATAGCCAAGGGAGTCGGAATGCGCATGAATTCGACATTACAGACTTTGTGACCCGGGACGCCATCAACAATGTTGCGGTTCGTGTATACCAGTACTGCGATGGATCCTACATTGAGGATCAGGATCAATGGCGCATGTCGGGTATCTTCCGTGACTTGTACTTGGTTCCCTTCCTTCCGAATACTATTACGGACTACGAGGTCACCACGGATCTGGACAAGTCGCTGTCAAATGCGGTACTGAAAACTTCTGTCACTGTGGAGGGTGATCATGGCACTCTTCGTTTGAAATTACTGGACCCCTCTGGCAAACAAATCGCCGAGAAAGAGGACTCCCCGGCTAAACCGCTCGAGATCTACGTCTCTTCTCCCCAGCTGTGGTCAGCTGAGACGCCGTCTCTCTATACCCTGTTCATCTCCTACGGAGACCGCGTTATTCGTCAGAGAGTCGGTTTCCGACGCGTCGAGCAGAAAGGATCCAACTTCGTGGTCAATGACAAAGCTATCACGTTCTACGGAGTTAATCGTCATGAGCATCACCATCTATTCGGACGCGCGGTGCCTTACGAGTCCCTGAAGCATGACCTCCTCCTCATGAAACAGCATAACATCAACGCCGTTCGTACTAGTCATCAGCCTAACCCCCCAGCGCTCTACGATCTTTGCGACGAGCTGGGGCTTTACGTGATCGCAGAAGCTGACCTTGAATGCCACGGATTCAACTCGGTTGAATCGCTCATATTCGAGGATGACACGTTAACCGGCAAAGATCGACAAGAAGCGGTTTACAAGAAGGCCGCCAAATGGACCACGGATAATCCTGAGTGGCGAGAGGCGTACGTCGACCGCGCGGTGCAACTCGTCGAAAGATACAAGAACCACGCATCGATCGTGTTCTGGTCGCTGGGCAATGAATGCTTCTACGGAAGCAACATGGCCGCTATGTATCACTGGGTCAAGAAGCGCGATCCTACCAGACTGATCCACTACGAGGGCGATCGAGAGGGCACCACAACGGACCTGTACAGCACCATGTACTATAGCATTGAGGAAATGCTGGACAAGACCAACAACTACACTGACCGGGCCTTGATCCAGTGCGAATATGGTCATGCAATGGGTAACGGACCCGGTGGATTGAAGGAGTACGTGGAGCTGTACCGAAGAGAGCCTCGGATCCAGGGAGGATTTATCTGGGAATGGTGCAACCACGGTCTCTTGACTGAGCAAAACGGAACACAATTCTATGCTTACGGTGGTGATTTCGGTGACGAGCCGAACGATGCCGATTTCATCATGGATGGTCTGACCTACTCGGATCATACGCCGACTCCGGGATTGACGGAGTACAAGAAGATCATTGAGCCAGTGACGGTAACGCGCAAGGGCGATGAACTCCAGATCCAAAATCACTATGACTTCATCAACCTCAGTCACCTGAGCTGTACGTGGAAGGTTGTCGGCGAAACCGGTAGCAGCGAGCCCGTTGCATTGGAACTGCCGTCGATCCCTGCCGGTACAATCAAGTCCATTCCCATTCCAGCATACAAGACAAACAAGTCCCGTGAGGCCTGGCTTGAACTCAACTTTGTCCTCAAGAATGGCACTTCCTGGGCTGAGAAGGGCCACGAAGTGGCGTGGGCCCAAATTCAAGTCAAATCCCAGTCCCCACCTCAAAGCCCAGCCCCCCAAAAAGCAGCTCTTTTGGCTCAACAGAAAGGAGGTCACCTTCTGATTACTGGACCCGAACATCAAACCAACTACTCCGTCAGCCTCGAAACCGGTCAGATTCAATGGACCTCGCACGGTCAGCGCATCGTGGAGAGTGGACTTGGACTTGGATTCTACCGCGCCATGACAGAGAACGACGAGGGTGATGACGGCGACCAGGAAGAGTGGGAAAATTACCGCGTGAACCATCTCCGTACCTCAATTCAGAACATCGCCTGGACTAGAGGAAACACCTCTGTCACCGTCAAGGTAGCCGCCCGGGTCGCTCCCGCCGTTCTCGACTGGGCCGTCAACACTCTCACCACCTACACCATCTACGACGATGGCATCGACGTACACTCCACGGGCTCGTTCTCTGGCTCTCACCCGAGCACCATCCCTCGTATCGGACTTGACCTTGAGCTGCCTGGGTCCTTTAACCACTCTTCCTGGTTTGGCCGCGGCCCCGGCGAATCATACAGCGACTCGAAAGAGGCCAACCGCTTCGGCACCTACAATCTCTCGGTCGCCGACCTATTTACTCCATACGAGTATCCCCAGGAGAACGGCAACCGGATTGAAACTCGATGGGTGAAACTCTCCTCCACAGACACTGGGCACGACAGCGTGTTGCAAGTCACAGCACCCGAGCCGTTCAGCTTTACAGCAAGAAATTTTCCGGACGAGGCACTCAACGAGGCCAAGCATCCGTTTGACCTGAAGCCCCTGGATCAAACCTTCCTACACATCGATTCTCAAACGCACGGGTTGGGAACTGGAACCTGCGGACCGGGTCCTCGACCGGAGTACCAGCTGCGCCCTGAGCCGTTTGAGTTTAAGGTGTCGTTTAGGGTTATATAAACTTCCATCATGGAAATAATCTTAAGATCTATGTAAATAGCTCTACTATCACTGCCAAATCAATCAATATCTTATTCCACAATACCTTCTATTCTATCTCCTCTTAATAAACTCCTCCAAACTCTCCTTCAACCTCCCAAACTCATCGAAATTCCCCTCATCCAACCACCCCTCAAACCCACCCCTCACCATCGAATACCACGCGGTGTCCCGATTCCTCCCCTTGACGACCATATGCTGCCTGAAAGTTCCCTCAAACGTAAACCTAAACCACCTCGCCGCCTTGTGAGACCCCTCATTCAACGAATTAACCTTCCACTCGACTCGCCTATACCCTGTCTCAAACGTATACTTCAACAATAAGTAAATAACCTCCGTAGCAACCGTGCTCCGCTGCATCCGGGGCGAGAAAATCACATGTCTGATCTCCAGACGTAAATGCTCCGGCACGATAGACATGAGAGCGATATAGCCTAAGACTTGTTCATTATCGCCGGAGTCGTTGTCGGCGGCCCCATCAGCGGCAGGCTGTGTCGCAATAATAGCGAAGACATACGGATCCGTCGATTTCGAATGTGCGACGATTTGGTCGTAAAAGGCGGCGTATTTCGCGAACAGTCCGTGAGGGATGTAATCACACTCTGTGTTTCGCCGATGAGAGCGTATAGTGGCTCGGCATGGGCGGGCGTTAGACGGTCCAGGCGGACGGTTGGCCGTGGAGGGTCGCGGCGCTAGGTGGTTGAGTCGGGGGTGAGAGGACGGGGGAGCCGAGGGGTCGGGACATTTTGATTTTGAGAGCGATTTCTTTTCTTTCTGAAGGGATGGCAGGGATGGAGAAGTTCAGGATGTTTGTTTCTCTGTCAGGAATTGTTTCACGGATTGAGGGGGTAAGATGGGTTAAAGTAGGACCCGAGTGAGTTATCGAACGATGTTTCGGGAGTGCGTTCAGTACACAGTTTGTATGTAGACCGGATAGGACTCCTTGAGTTTAATTATTTCAATTTAATTTAGTATCCGCGACGAATATACAGTGCTAAGCGATGGCTCGCATAGTATTCAACACGAGAGAAGGTCTTTTGTTTGTACTCGAGCATCAAATGCGGGAAAAAAAGTACCAATCACTACTATTTGGAATCTTCTCCCTATCAAGGCGTTTTTAGATCAAACTAGCCTATATGCTAGATCCAACCTATGAAATATGCAAGCCTAAGATCATTACTACAATCATCCCCGCATTTTAGAAGAAAGAATATGGTCTTCCGTTGAATGGAAGGGGTAGTAATACGTCATTCGGTATCCTCGAATGCAAAACAGACAGATAGGCGTTATTATACGTGATTGAGCAGAATGTATAATCGAAGTGATCAGACCTACAATCACAAACTCCCAAATTCAGACACTGAGGTATACACTTCCTCACGGGCGAAAAAAACCCCGATACTACAAATCTAAGTTCTAGTTACCAACGTTGTGATTATAAATGAGCTTGCCTTGAAGGCAACGGCGTGATGGTGAGAGGGGTTCAAATAAGACCATTTAACGGGGCTTAGTGGTCCCGCCTACAGAATTAGAAGATGATACCATCATTGAAATTCATTTTGTGATAGAACAATCATAGTCAGGACAGCTGTTGATAGTAAACGTGTAAAAAAAAAAAAAAGGCAACATTATCAAGAAAGAACAAACTAGGGCCATATAGTCAGGCATGCCTTTGACAGCCTCAGCCAGAAAAGGAAAACTGCCAGATGACATCAACACAAAGAAAAATGGGACAGAAACGAGGAAACAAAGACAATACAGTTGTTTGCGAAAGCAGTCACCCCCTAGGATTGATTCTTTGTCTTCTATACCATATGCCAAGAAGGCGCTTAACCCCTTTGGTCAGCACCCTCAAATACCTATTTTGAGGTGGCATATCGTATGGTACTAGAGTCGCATGATTAATGATATCGTAATATTACATGTTTCATCTGTACGGGAAATTTACTGAGGCCACGTTGCGAACCCCCGAACCCCGCCTGATGATCCGTCAACCACCAAGATGGCGCCACGACTTGCACAGTCCACTAGAGAGATGACCTTTGATATGATCACGAGCAGTGGGCTTAACGTACCACAAATGGCTGAAGCTGCGAGTTGTGACAAACGAACAATCAAAAGACATCGCTCAAATATTCGAATGTTTGGCAGCGTGACAGCGCCGCCAAATCCAGGCGGACGACCGCGTAGCCTTATTCCTCTTATGATCCAAGTTCTTTGTGATCATTTACTTGAAAAATCCCGTTTATATCTTGATGAGATAGTGGTTTTCCTATAGGACGAATTTGAGATACTTGTAACAATATGGAGCATTTGTCGTGCGCTGCAGCAGGAAGGTTAGTCAAAGAAAGCAGCCAAGCAAAAAGCTAAAGAACGTAATGCAGACTTACGTGATGCCTACTGTCATTATATTTCCGATTTTTGCTCCTATCATCTCGTTTATGTGGACGAGTCTGGATGTGACAAGCGCATAGGCTTTAGAAAAACGGGCTGGTCTCCTCGTGGCATCACACCTTCTCAAGTTACCAAATTCCATCGTGATCAGCGGTACCAGATCCTCCCAGCGTACGCCCAGGATGGAACTGTCCTATCCTGCGTCTATAAAGGTTCAATAGACTCCTCTATCTTCGAAGATTTTATTGAAGAGTTACTTTATCATTGTGGGAAATGGCCGGAGCCCAAGTCTGTTCTTGTTGTAGACAATGCCTCCTTCTATCACTCTGAAAGGATTGAACAATTGTGTTCACAAGCAAGGGTGAAATTGGTATATCTGCCTCTATACTCGCCGGACTTGAATCCTATTGAAGAGCTTTTCGCAGAGACTAAAGTTTTCACCCGGCGGCATTGGCACTCCTACGAAGACAATCCTGACCAAGGTTTCGATGTCTTTCTGGATTGATGTATTACTACTGTCGGGGAAGAAAACGAAGTGCAGAGGGGCACTTTCGGAATTCAGGCTTGACAATCGAATATATATGTGCTTGCACATATGGTCACCTGTGTTTGAAGGGAGGATCCGTTAAACAAATCATTTTCATACTTGAAATCTAATACATGAATTTTAGTAGGCATTTTTTATGAGAGCTATTCCTCGCAGGGTCAGTGGTAAAATATGTCGCTTGTTTATCTATCTTAGAAGGAGCTGCAGCATGAGACGCCTACATGGAGGTCCCGTAATAAGCAACATGACCTGCCATAGCGGTGTATCCCAGAAACCAGCCAGAGCATCCAACAAAATATATCACAAATCAGCCGTTGATTGAGACTTGCTGATCTATCCTGCTGGCCGTCTCTCTAGGCGTAATTGCTAGTAATGTACCCGTAGGAATATCGAATGATGAAGCTCTGATTCTTTCATTCTAGTTGCAAACGGTAGTTTAAATACATAAAGAATGATAGGCAATCTAGCCTAAAAAGGCAGCTAGAAGAGACATAACTTTTGAACCATGGAAATAACAGAAAAATCTGCATAATCCTCAGGGATCGGTAGTTACCAATACCGATGTCCGAAATAGGAAGGTCTCCTAGCGGTTACATACGGTTGACATATCCAGTATCTGGCTGATACTGTATCATCTGCACCTGGCAAGAGTTTATTGTGCTAGATATGGTGCGATACCACTCACTGGAACTGGAAGTGCAATAGAAAGATATTGTACTGTGTACAATACAGTTTGGCTCCTCTCGCAGATTGAAGCTCAATTATGCTGAGGCGATAAAGTTCGGTAACTAACTAGGAGTGGGTTCATGATTCGGATAACTAAAGTGCGGGGTCGGTCCTGGCCGCGGGAGAAAAGTAAATCCGAAGCTCAAAGGTAATCAATTAGAGCCGTTCAGCCCTCTGTTTGATAAAAACTAATCAAGTATCATTGACATTAATGCTGTTTTATATTTTGATAAAGAGAATGGCTCTATCGCACAATGACTATATGATTGCCTGGATCTGCGCCTTGCCGCTCGAAATGGCTGCCGCAAAGGTCATGCTGGATGAGACTCACCCTCCCCTACATCAACCAAAGTCCGACTCAAATGCCTATACTCTTGGAAGTATCAGTGGCCATAATATCGTGGTAGCTTGTCTACCGTCTGGTATTTATGGTATCACATCTGCAGCGGTTGTTCTCGCTAATATGCTGCCAACGTTTCCCTCTCTTCGATTTGGGCTGATGGTAGGCATCGGAGGCGGCGTGCCCAGCGAGACCAACGACATTCGACTCGGTGATATCGTTGTTAGTATACCGACTGCAAACTCTGGAGGTATAATTCAATATGACTTTGGCAAAGCACTTCACGATGGAACCTTTCAGCATACTGGCTCACTTAACAGACCCTCTCAAGCTCTGTTGACCGCAGTATCTCAAATACGCAGTAATGATATGATTTTAAAACGACCAATTTCGCAGTTTCTATCTGATGTACTACGGAGGCATGCTGATATGAGAGAGAATTTTTTACGACCGGATAAAGACTGGCTATTCAGCTCAAACTATAATCACTATGGCGATTGCCCTGATTGTTCTATGTGTGACCAGGGTCAATTGGTGGATCGTAAGGCGCGAGTTACTGACGAACCAGTTACTCACTATGGTTTGATTGCTTCCGGGAATCAGGTTATAAAGGATGCCAAGAAACGAGACTTTCTCGCTCAATCAATGGACATTCTCTGCTTTGAAATGGAAGCTGCTGGACTTGTAGACCAGCTGCCGTGTCTGGTGATTCGAGGAATCTGTGACTATTGTGACTCTCACAAACATAAAGGATGGCAAGGTTATGCGGCTCTCACCGCTGCTGCATATACTAAAGAGCTTCTTTCTGTCGCGCCTTTAGCAGTCACCCAGTCAGTCACTAGTATGTACATCCCTGGAGTCGATTTTACAAGCTATCTTTACCTGTGTACTGACTATATCTTAGCCACTAAATTTCTGGTTACATTGGATCTGACGACAGTGCCCGCAATTGAAGAATTTATTGGACGACAGGAAGACCTTAAACACCTGTGGCACTATCTACAACCAGCAGGCTCACCATTACGCAAAGTCGCTATCCTCCATGGCCTTGGTGGAATCGGGAAATCACAACTTGCAATTAAATTTGCACGTGAGCACAAAAATGGCTTTTCAGCAATCTTTTGGATAAATGGGAAAGATCGATCTACCCTGGTTCGATCTTTGAGTTCTTGCCTTCCACGCATACAAACGTATGCCGTGGCAAATGAAGCCGCTACAGAGGAAGAAGCAGAACAGCGGGCTAGCCAAGTTATAAAGTGGCTAGCAGTACCAGAAAATCAAAACTGGTTATTGATCTTTGACAATATTGATCAGTATACGCCCCTAGAGACCAGCAATAATGGTGAATATGATATCAAGGATTTCTTCCCAAATGCTGATCATGGGTCTATTCTTATTACCTCCCGGCTCCAGAGATTGATGGAACTCGGAAAATCATTTCCTATCGAAAGACTCGCACCCAAAGATGCTAGAAAACTCTTCTTACAAAGTTGGGGACGTTCTTTGTCCGAGATTGTAGATGCGGGATTAGAGAAAGGTACGCATTTATCAGACCTATTTTAAAGGTTTTACTAATGTATTCAGATCTTGCTAGTCTCATGGCTCAATTTGATGGTTTACCATTGGCAATTGTCATTGCTGGCGCATTCATGCGCGAAACTGGCACAGGCATCAGTGAGTACCTGGAGGATTATCAGGAATCATGGTTCGAATTGCAGGCTCAATCTTTACCCACGCGTCATTATCACCAAGGTAATATCCTTCAGACATGGGCAGTATCCTATCATGAAATTCAGAAACGAGATTCAACTGCTGCAATACTGCTTCTCTTTCTGTCGTTTTTCGATAACCAAGACATCTGGTATGAGTTGGTTGCGGGTGGCCGTCATTGTCCTAATGTCCCCGATTGGTTCGAAATGGCGGTTGGGAGAAAATTCGACTTTAAAGCACGGATCAAAACCCTCCTTGCATTTTCCCTAATCGAAACTAAGCCACAAGGAGGAAGCTATAGGTTACATCCAGTAGTTCAGGACTGGTGTACCCATGTTGCTGGGACAGAAAATCATATCTCTCGATTAAGGGAAATTGCGCTTGTTTCCATTGGATATACAGTCCCGGGTAGTGATGAGAAAGACTATGCGAGAGTTCAGCGGCGCCTGCTCCCACATGCAAATTATGTGTTTCGAAAACATATGACTTACGAAACCAATAATACCGCAGTTTGTGGCGCTTTCCATATGCTAGGAAATTTATACTCGGATCAAGGCAAGCTGAAGGAGGCAGAGGAGATGTACCAGCGTGCACTAGCAGGGAAGGAACAGGCTCTAGGTCCTGATCATACATCTACCCTGCGCACTGTCAACAATCTTGGTCTTCTCTACTCTGATCAAGGCAAGCTGAAGGAGGCAGAGGAGATGTACCAGCGCGCACTGGCAGGAAAGGAACAGGCTCTAGGTCCTGATCATACATCTACCCTGGACACTGTGCATAATCTTGGGAATCTCTACAAAGATCAAGGCAAGCTGAAGGAGGCAGAGGAGATGTACCAGCGTGCACTGGCAGGGAAGGAACAGGCTCTAGGTCCTGATCATACATCTACCCTGGATACTGTACACAATCTTGGGAATCTCTACTCTGATCAAGGCAAGCTGAAGGAGGCAGAGGAGATGTACCAGCGTACACTGGCAGGCTACGAACAGGCTCTTGGTCCTGATCATACATTTACCCTGGACACTGTGCATAATCTTGGGACTCTCTACTCTGATCAAGGCAAGCTGAAGGAGGCAGAGGAGATGTACCAGCGTGCACTGGCAGGTTACGAACAGGCTCTCGGTTCTGATCATATATCCACTCTGCGTGCTGTTGGCAATCTTGGCCTTCTCTACTCTGATCAAGGCAAGCTGAAGGAGGCAGAGGGGATGTACCAGCGTGCACTGACAGGGAAGGAACAGGCTCTCGGTCCTCATCATACTGAAGCACGTGAGGTGTCCAGCAATCTTCATACCCTCACTCACCTCAATGTTGGGGCCGATTCGCCTGGACTGCACGCTTTCCAGGGCCCGTCAGTACAGGCATCTGGTAACAACTCTAAAGATGCGCCCAACAAACCGCGGAAGAGGGATGCTTTTTATAAGGCTTTCCGCAGAAAATAAGACTCTATTGATAAGCATGACCATATAGTCCCATAGTCTCCTCCGGTGGTGGTACCGGGCCTAATCCCGGCAGAGAAGTATCATACATGCCTCTGTCAAGGAGTTTGTTGGTATCACCAGCTAGGCACTGTACACAGTTAAGTGAACAGGTCGTTTCTGAAGCGAAAGTATAGATTGTAGATAGATGTATGTTCCCAGGTCAGGTTCCAAGATACCCCTTTTACCCCGTACGCGGATACTCGGCGGTCACAGCAACGGAGCCGTAGCCTCACGCAAGAATGCATACGTATACCGAGCAAGGGATGTAATATGTCAGTCGCAAGGGATGTGATGTGTCAGTCGCTAGCGGTAAGTTACCGCTAATCTGTTCTGACCGGAGGATATATCCCGACAGAGTTCTTCTTCAGAATCTTGACTGGGTGATGGTCGCCCATCCATGGACCACACCCGCCCTCTTTCGAGTACGGCGGTACCTGGGGTCATTCGAAAGCGTGAGGTTAGGGTCATCAGCAGCAGGAGGACCGGCTGTAAGCTCTGGTAGCCACCAGAGAAGCGCGGACTGTACATGCAGGGACAAAACGTAATTGCCATCATCATCCAGATGGAAATGAGCGGAGGGGACTGTGTGAAAATAGCCAGAATGGAATTTGGCTCTATCATATGTGAGTTCTTTGCATGTCATATCCGTGCAGAGAGGGTACTCGGCTGCAACCAGGACAGCAATGGCAGAAGGCATCTGGGTGTCAGGAATCACGAACAAAATCGCTGTAATTCTTATGAATGCCAGCCAGACTCAGAGCAAGCCATCCGAAGAGGAGATTGGGGACATTACTGACTATGAGCTCGAGAACATCTGTGATATTTGTAGTCGCTCGACCAGCACCCCTGTCTGAGGCTTTCCTGGAACCAACCATTATCAATCACACATGACCTTCAAATTACCGGATACATCAGCTGTAGTCTATATAAATGCTATATTAGCGGGGCTATAAATCTATATAAGAATTGAAACTTCCTGAAACACTACGTGGGAAGATCTGGATCAGTGAACTATCTGGGGCTTTGGAAAATATTCCTACTTCGCTGCTGGTCATCGCTTAGGATCCCCTTTGTCCAACCAACTAGAACTTCCTCAAGGTATGTATGGTCTTCCATTCTTCATATAACAAACCCCTTACGCTAGAAACACGAACATATGAATAAATCTGAGGTATGGATGATGTTTATCTTATCTCATGTAACTAATTTGGCTATATAGTGGTCGAATCAGGAAAAATTAGAAAATAATATGTTATTGATCATAAATATTCATAATAGCTTTAGGAAAGGATAAAATTAAATTAGAGAAACTTAATTTTTCTTAACCTCTCTCTCTATTACTAAATCCAAATAAAATTTTAACCTTTTCTATCTTTCTTTTTGTACTACTGTTCGTGATAATTTAGATTCTTTTCTCTTTTCACTTATTTCAGAAATCCAAGGGGTGTCAAGGAAAATAACGGCATAAAAGGTACACTTCCGCTCTGAAGAATCATGTATATATAGTCGAACTGGGGTTTTCAGAAGTAGCTGGCGCAACCAGTATCTTTTTTGATCTCCCAAGAGGCGTAAAGAGCTCTACTGAGCAAGTTTCTCACAGAATTTGCTCTTCTCCGCTGCCTGCAGCCCCAACTCCTCAATACTGACATTCGCCAGAATATTAAACACTCCTAGCTCGGCCTGGATCTCCCGGGCAAACCAGAACCGCAGCTCCACCGCCACCAGGGAGTCCACGCCGAACGAATGCGCCGGTCGCGCGGTATCGATATCTTCCTGCGGCACGGACAAGGCCTGCGAGAGACGGTGCGCGAGCGCTGAGGCCACGATGCGTCCGGCTTCGGGCAGGGAGGCGGCAGCGCGCAACTCAGCACCATAGTTGATTTGGTTTTCAGCCGAGGAAGAAGAATCAGACGAAGATGTGGAAGAAGGATCAACCATCTGGTGAAGGTGTCGGTACATGGGTCGCGACATGTAAGGTTGTAGGGGTTTTTTGTGAGCGCGTGCGGCGGCAGGCCGGTCAAGGGCTGTCAGAACCTGCGTGGCCCAGGGCGATGAGACAGAGGCGTAGCGACCAGGATGACAGGCCCAGTCAACGACGGTGTGGAGTTCATCTTCACGAAGTACCTCAAATCCGGCACGCACCCAGCGTTGGGCGATGTCTTCTTGCTCGGCAACGTATCCGACGGACGTGACGAGTCCGATGTCGAGAGAGATGCATTGCTGGCCCCTAGCGTGGCGGTATCGAGCGAATGCGTCCTGGAAGTTCGCGACGGCGGTATATTGTGATTGACCGCGAGAGCCAATCATTCCACCCAGTGAGGAGAGGATGACGAAGAAGTCCATATCGCTGGGGAGCTGGTGGTGCAGGTTCCACGTTCCTGTGAGCTTAGGGTCGAGCACGGCTTGCCAGTCGGAATGGGTGAGATTGTCAAACAGTCGGTCCTATAATTCACGTGTCAGTACGTTCGATATCGGCTGCGATGAGGTATTGAGGAAAAGGGGAAGGCGTGACTTACCCTGAGAACCATGGACGCTTGAATAACACCTTTTACGGGTGGCATCGTAAGACTGCATTCCTTCAATGCGGCGGCAAGCGACGCCGCATCTCCAACGTCACATTGCGGCGTGGCCACCTTTACGCCGGACTGCGCCAGATCCGTCACTAATCTGTTTGCTTTCTCGCGGCCGGTGGCCCCTGACCGGGACAGGAGAATCAAATGGCGGGCACCGCGGCGGGCAAACCACCGCGCCAGACTGCGTCCGATGCCACCGAGACCGCCAACAATCACGTAGCTTGCGTCCTCGACGAAACTATATTCGGGTTCCACAGTAGGGATGATGCGTATCTCAGCGGGAGTGTCCCAATCGATGACAGCTTTACCCATATGCTTCCCCGTCTGCAAGAACCGGAAAGCCGATTCGAATTCACCACGCGAGAACCGCGTCACGGGCTGCGGAGCGGCCAGTTTTCGGCCCTGCAACAGGACGTGGAGCTCTTGCACCAGCTGCCCCATGACAGTGGGGTGGTGGTGGTAAACGGTCAGGAGGTCGAGGGAGGAGAATGTGACGTTTTTGGAAAACTCGTACATGGGGAGAGATTGGAAAGAGTAGATGTCTCGCTTGCCAATCTCGACGAACCGGCCGAGAGGTGCGATGCAGCGCCACGTCTCGACGAGCGCCTCGCCTGAGGTCGAATTCAAGATTACGTCGACGCCGCGGCCGCCGGTGGCGCGACGAATCTGGGGCCCAAAGGCCAGCCGTCGACTCGAGAAGAACCGATCATCCGGGATGCCGTAGCTATCCTGGAGTAGCTTCTTCTTGACTGGCGAGCTGACCGTCACGAAGACGTCCGCGCCCAGGTGCTGCGCCAGCTGAATGGCGGCCTGGCCGACGGCACCGGCCGCTGCATGGATGAGCACCGACTCGCCGGCACGCAATCGTCCTAAGTGGGTGATTCCATACAGCGCCGTCAGCCAGACGGCCGGGAACGCTTCGGTAAAGGCCATATCACTGGGTAGAGGGATGGTGGTACCGACACGGGTGCGCACAAACGTACGGAAGGTGCCCGAGGCGACGCCAGTGACCCGGTCGCCGGGTGAAAAGGTCTGCGCGGCGGCGCTGCCCACACGTCGCACGACGCCGGCATATTCATGACCAATATATGTATCACTTATCTGGCCCAGCGCGCACATCACGTCCGCGAAGTTAATACCCGAAGCCTTGATTTCAACCTCGAGCTCGTCAGACTCCAGGATACCGCCAGCGGAGGCATCGTGTACAAATCGGAAGCTGTCAAGCTGACCGGGGGAGAATTGAATTTCGAGCGCTTCGTCCGGCTGGCGGTCTACGGCACGTGTCTCGATGGGCAGTCGTCCAGTCCGGGTGTTCACGTAGGCGTTGACATCTGAAGCTTCTACCACTCGCGGGATCAGGATCTGATCCTGGTTGCTGGTGGCATGAGTCGACACTAGATAATCTCCTTCGCGGTTGTCCAGCGAGGCCGAGTGTCCCTGCTCCAGGAACCTTGCAATGGTGGCAGCCGACGCCACCGCCGTCTGCCCGGCCGGGATATCCACGTTGGTCATTTGCAGTTCTGGGCGTTCCAAAGTGATAGTGCGACTGAACCCGGAGCCCATAGCTGTCTCAGGCACCTCAGGATCCTGCCCACCCCCGGAGGTAATCCAGTAAAGATTGGACGAACAGTAAACTAGGGCCTTAAAAGCAGTGAATTCGTCTTCTATCATGTTGGCCAAAAACGGCGGGTCTAGATCTAGCAGAGACACGCAAACATCGGCTGTTCCCTGCCGCTGCCGAAGATCTGCTGGAGAGACAATCTCACCACGCCTGTTGGGCAGATGCGCGAGCAACTCTTGGGCGACTACCTGCTGACGCTCGGTGTTGGCGACCACCACAAGGGACTTCGACGAATGCTGCACATCACAGGAACGGGACGAGTCATCGCCCCCCACTGCCCGCGAGAGTAGGAAGCTAAAGGTATGTTGAGCAGGTTCCGGATGATCTGGAATGGCCGACTCAATCCCCGAGAAGCCCACGCGTTGCAGATAGTGATCCCATTCGCTGAGCGAGTACAGCGGGCAGCGCTGGCGGTTTTTCTCACGCGAGCGCCACCAGCCCGACAGAGTCCCCCAGATGCTGTTCAGCACGGTATCATGCTTGTTGGTAGGCTCCATCAGCACCAGGTATCCGCCTGGTTTGCACAGAGCGCGAGCATGCCGCAGCGTATCCTCCACACAGGCCGTAGCGTGGAGTACCGTTGCAGCAATCACCAGGTCGTACTGCCCCAATGGGAAACCCTGGTCAACCGGACTGCGCTCAATATCCAGGGTCTTAAAGACCATACGGTCGAGGTGCTCGGGAAAGCGTGATTTGGCCTTGTCAAAGAAGCTGGGTGAGATATCTGTGAAGGTGTACTGGGCATATCGTGGGCTGCCCTGCTGTGCCAGCGCGTTGAGGATCTGCTGCGTGCCGCTGCCCGTGCCGGCACCAATTTCCAGTATGTTGAGGTTGGAGTCCTTGTGAGCTAGCAGATCAATCCAGGCAGCCATGCGTTTTCCAGTAACAACGAAAATGGGATCAGTGTACAGGTCGCGGGCAAGGTTCTGGTTGAACAGCAAGTCCAGCGGGTCTACTTCTTCACGTACCATGGCCTCCAGTTGAGCGCCGAAAGACTGCACCGCTGCCTCGACGGGACCGGTGGCGGCAAACTTAGCCAGGTATTGTTCACGGCGCGCTGGCTCACCGAAAATTGCTTGCCATCGGGGTTCACGCAACGGGTCATTACAGTCTGCCACACGCATGTCCAGATGATACCGCACCCAATCGATATACTTCCGCCCGTGCGGCGTCCGAGGCACAAATCTCTGGGCGTCCAGATGACGCAACATTTGTTCCAAGTAGAAGAGCGTGACAACCTCCTTATTCGGAGTCCAGGCAGCCGGCATAGGCGCCTGTTCGAGACAATAAGCCTCGACCTGGTCACGATCTAGCTGGTCCACGTCGGGTGCCCAGTGCAATCGGTAGAAGATGTTCCGCGGCGGCGACGGGGTGTAAGTCAGGCTCGACACGGTGGTGACGCGGTACCCGTCGATGACTAGAGCAGGCTCGCCCGTATCCGAGTTGAGCACCAGGATGAAGGAGTCGGTCTCGCGCACGGCCTGCCGCGTGGTCTCCCCTAACACCTGCAGTCTTGTCTCTGGCGTCCGCTGCAGTAGTGACTCGGCGATCCAGAAATCGCGCACCTGCGTCGGTGCCTGTAGAGGCCCCGGCACGGTAGCCCCCTTAGTAGTGGCAGCCGATGTGACCTGGAAGATGCCGTCTAGAGTGGTTGGGTGGATGAGGTGCGGCTGAGTCTGCGCGGCGCGAGAGGACAACTTGCTCTGCCACTCGTCGGGCCGCAGCTCCGCCATGGCCTGGACGCCTTGGGCGTCGTAGGTAATGCCGTGTAGGGTGTTGAACAGCGGACCGAACCCGTAACCAGTCTTTGCACCGACTTCGTAGAACAGCTCACGCGTAGTGGCCGTCGTGCAGCGGCGGCGGGCGTCTTCGAATCGGGCGCGGTATGCCTCGACCGTCTGGCGGTGCTCGTCGCCCGCGTAGATCTCGTCCGACGCACTCTCCTCGTATTCAATAGCGATCGATCCGGCACAGACATCAACCCATTCATCGCCCGCGAAGGAAGTCGTACGAAATTCCCAGTTTTCAACCGATTTCACTCCCGTCGTGCGACGATTCTCCGGCAGGCGGAAGTGCACCTGAGTCTCGATACCTGCTGCCGTGGATGGGACAACCAGGGCTGAGAAGATCATCAGATTTCTAATCCGATATCCCCGGGCCCCGGGACGGGCGAGATATCGCGCCGCCTCGATTGCCATAACGATCATTCCGGCCCCGGGGTAGACAAGAGATCCATTCATCTTGGACATGCGTTAGTAAGCCCTTAACGATCTCAAAAAATCAAGAGGGACAAAAATATTTACCTGATGATCCGTAATCCAGGGCAAATCAGACACCCGAATCGTGAAACGAAAGCGCGGTTCCAATGGATTCCAATCCACCGAAGGAATGCCGATAAGTTCATGGCGAACATTGTTGCGAGTTCGATAATTGTGAAATAGCCTGCTTTCCAGCCAGTAGGTCTGAGAATGGTTAAATGGATACTGCGGTAGGTCGGCGACCATCTTTCCTGGGGCCTCTTCGGCATGGATGGCGTGAAAGTCAATAGGGTAGCCTTCGGTCCAGAGCATGCCGGCCAAATCAAGTACCCGGGAACCGTCCAGCTCCTTCCGGCGCATGGCAGAGGCATACTTGAACTGGCCGGATCCCACACTGTCCCGAATTGCCCGCTGCATGGCCGCGTGCGGACCAATCTCGAGCCAGATATCGGGGATTCCGCCACTGTTGCTGGCAGCCAGCTTGGTCACCGCCCTGGAGAATTGAACTGGAGATACCAGATTCCGCACCCAGTATTCAGGCTGCTCGAGCTCCTCCAGGTTTACCTTATCACCTGACACAGAGGAGATAAACAATGGAGACTGACTACCAAGGGAAGTAGTATGTGAAGCAGATGAAGCGACCGCCATGCACGGCCGGAGGAGACGTTCATATTCGTCGGCAATGGCCTGCATATGAGCAGAGTGATAAGCCACAGGGATAGCCAATTTTCGCGCAAAGACGCTGTCGTTGTTAAGCAGAGCCTGCAGCGCGTCGATGGCATTTTCGCGTCCGGTGACGGTGAGATTCTGGGCGCTGTTGAAACAGCCGACGGAAAGGGCATCGCCGCCATGACTGGTGGCAATTGTCTGCAAGTACGGCTGCAGATCGTCCTCGCTCAACGCAACGGCCATCATGGCCCCACGCTGGGATTCCGGAGCCGTTGCCAGACGAGCGGCTAACGCACCCCGGAAGTAGGCAATGGTCCAGGCTACTTCCCGCGAGATGGCCCCGGCCGAATACGCGGCGGCAATCTCACCGGACGAATGTCCAGCGACGCCGAACGGGGTGATGCTCCAGGAGGCGAACAACTCGACAAGTGCGATTTGCAAAGCCGTACACAGGGGCTGAGCCAGCGCCGGGGTGTTTATCTGGGATTCGGCGGCCGGCTTCGCCAGCTCTTCCAGCAGCGACCAGTCACTTCCCAGCCTCCTGAGGCAGGCATCGGCTGACCGTAAGCTGCGCCGGAATACCGGGAGGTTGTTCAGTGCGAGTCCCATTTCGGCCCACTGGGCGCCCTGGCCGGTGAAAATGAACTGCAGGCGCGGTGCGGCCGAGGAGCGAACCGGCTTGGAGAGCGATTTGACTTGACATGCGAGATCTTCCACTGAGGATGCTAGTGCGTAGGACTTCCAGGGTAGGCAACTGCGATGAGCTGACAAAGTAAATGCCAGGTCTCGCAGAAACACATCGTCTGAATGCCCATTTCCTGGGGCCCGTGTCGACAGATATTCCTGATAGGCCTCACCTAGACGTGCAATGCCGCCGGAATCGGAGGCCGAGAAAACGAACAGACGTGGAAAATGGGATTCTTGGGAGGTGTCATTCACGCCATTGGTCTTCACTCCATTTGTGTGGCTGACACCGTTGGTGTGGTTAACACCATTCGTATATTTGACTCCATTGGTAGCCTCTACAGCCGTTTCGTACTCCGTGAAATGGTGTCCCGACAAACCACGCTCTTGTAGATAATGGTATGCATCATCCAGCACGGCATGCGCGTTAGATCCACCGTACCCAAACGCATTGACCGACGCTCGTCGCAATCCGGGGGGCCAGGATTGGGGCGCGGTAGGGAAATTAAGATGCCACTCTTCAGCACGGATCTCAGGATTCAGGGTTTTCAATCCGGCAATTGGCGGAATTACACCCTTTTCCAAAGAAAGTATCGTCTTAATCACGCCGGCCACCCCGGCTGCCGCTTCCAGGTGGCCTATATTGGCTTTTACAGCGCCCAGGTACATCGGGTCCTCCGGCGAGCGGTACGATCCAAAGACCTCGCGGATGGCCACTGCCTCCATGGGATCACCGAGCGTGGTTCCCGGGCCATGAGCCTCAAACAAACGCGTTTGCTGTAGTCCCAGTCCGGCAGACTCATAGGCTGTCCTGATCAGCCGCTCCTGCGCTGCCTGGCTGGGATGTGAGATGCCCGGGGTACGGCCATCTTGGTTTGTGGCCGTGGCGCGCACCACGGCGCGGATGACGTCGCCATCCGCCAGGGCATCCTCCATGCGCTTCAGCACCAACACGCCGAACCCTTCTCCCTTGGCGTAACCGTTGCCAGACGCATCGAAGCTATGGCACCGGCTATCGGGTGAGATGAATTTGAGCGCGGATAGCGAGATGGCACTCGTCATGGGCTCAAGGTAGAGTTGCGAGCCGCAGACGAGACTCTATAGTAGAATGCTCAGCCGATACACATCGAAAAAGGGAAGAGGAAACGATAGAGGGGCACAAAAACCCACCATTCGAGATTCCTTGGCTCGCAGACTCTGACATGATAGATGCAGGGCTATCATGCTGCTAGAGCAGGCAGTTTCAATGGTCATGCTAGGTCCCCTAAGGTCATAGAACCAGCTCAGTCGGTTGGAGAGGATGGCTGTAGAGTTTCCGGTCGACTTATAGGTCGCCTGGACCTCTTCGTCAAATTCGAAGAATCGACTATACTCCACTCCTAAAGCACCAAGATATACCGATGTATTGGAGCCAGCGATGTGCTCCATGGGCATACCGGCTACACCGAGAAAATGAAAATCAAGAAAGCACCGATCAGCGATGTCATTGACCGGATTAGCTCGGAATTGAGTGCTCACCGTTCTCGAAGGCTCGATATGAGGTTTCCAGAAGGAATCGTTGCTGCGGATCGAGACTTTCTACTTCTGAGGGATTCATAGAGAAAAACGGAGCATCAAAGGCGGCGATGTCTTCTTCCAGGAAATGGCCACCACGGGCATTGACCTGGAGAAATCATTTGGTCAGTGTTGAAGTCCAAGCAGAACCGAACGGGGCTAAGAAGGCACCGTGTCATTGCGGGAGGCGTCGGGGTGATAAAAGCCGTTGATGTTAAATCGACTAGAGGGGACTTCTTTCATGACCGAACGGCCTTCTTGCAGAAGGTCCCAGAAGGCCTGGGGTGAAGTGGCCTTCTCAGGGAAGTGCAGCGAGAAGCCCACGACGGCGACATCATGAGAGTAAGAGTCAGAGGAGGCCATTGTATGATGGAAGGGAGAAAGAAAGAAGAAGAAGAAAGAAAGAAAGAAAGAAGAAGGGGAGGGGAGGGGGGGGGGTGTGGAGAACGATGTTTGACGAAGAGCTTTGAATTATGGGAGATTGAACTTGACTCGTCGCGCCGGCCTATCTATTTATACTGTCGAAGGTGAGGCTCCCTTTGTTCATGTACCGTCAGCGAGCGTTGAACTCAGAACGTGTCCTGCATGGTCACGTATCTTGGCCATTGGAATTTCCCTCTTGGACTGTATACGATTGCGAGTCCTCGTTGACGAACAACTTGTTTCCTGGTTCGGTAGTAGCCTACAGTAGATCCATCCGAAGTGACCTGTCGGTCTATTGGACGACTACCGTAGTTACCGGATAGGCCCAATGCGTATTAACGTCCAACGGGGCTTCATCCTTCGCTTGCATATTGATCCCTCCTCCTTGTCATGCCAGGTCCACTTGGTCCGGCCATCCGCGGGTGCATTGCCTTCATTCAGTGAGAGCGCCATCAAACCATCGATCGTGCCCCGCAGTGTCGATCATTTCCTTATCAGCAAATCGGCACCACTTGGGCGATGTTGGGGGCATTTTTAGTATGTGTGATGGAGGAGGATTGGCAGCTGAGAAGTGAGATCCCGTGTCCCGTGTCAGATATAACCATGTGTCCTAGTATTACTGCCGTTCGGAATTGTACAGTATGTATGGTACTTTTGTCCTTCTGTATCTTACGAACTATGCATGGATGTCTCCACCTTCTTCTTCCCTTTGTTTAAGGACAACTTCGGAGTACCTTCCCCTTCCTCTCTCTCCCCCCCCCCCTGATCCCTCTACTTGCGCATATAAGTGTGGTTCCCTGCAGCCCCGGTATCCTCCTCCAGCTTAGTAGTAAATTGTCTCTCTCAAAAATGACCAACTCCAAGAAACAAACCTGGTTCATCACCGGCTGCTCCAGCGGCTTCGGCGAGCTATTCGTGCGCCAACTTCGCGCTCTGGGCGACAATGTGATCGCAACAGGACGGAATGCCAACGAGAGGCTAGCCCATCTACGCGATACTGGGGCCACCATCCTCGAGCTCGATGTGACGGCGCCCCAAGCCGAATTGAACGCCAAATTCCAGCAAGCGGTAGAGATCTATGGCGGCGTCGACGTGCTGGTCAATAACGCCGGTTACATTCAGTGTGGCGCGATCGAAGAACTAACGTAAGGCGATCCAATCAATCAATCAAGCGAGCTCTCTATCTCTCTCTCTCTCTCTATGTATCTCTCTCTCTGCGCCCCCACTGACAACGACATTTCCAGACAAGAGGATCTGCAGCGGTCGATTGACACCAATGTCCATGGCCCTTTGAATCTGACTCGTGCCGCGTTGCCGCATTTTCGCAGCAAAGGGGCCCAAGGCCAGGGCTTGCTCATTTATATGAGCTCGCAATCGGGTTTTTGGGGCGATCCGGCGTCGACGGGCTACGTCGCCAGCAAGTTTGCTCTCGAGGGTCAGTTCGCCTGTTTCCCCCCCACCCTCTCTCTCTCTTTGTTTGCTCTTTCTAACTCGACCGGCATGTGCAGGCGCTGTGGAGTGTCTAGCCAAAGAGCTAGCATGGTTGGCACCCGGCATCAAGCCGCTACTGCTTGAACCAGGTATCTTCAGCACGGAGGTCATGAAGAATATCAACCACGTTCCGTATCGGGTGGACTTCTGGCGCCCGTTGAACGACGCCTGTCGCGCTCGAGGCCAGGGGAACTATAAAAACGAGCCGGGGAATGCGGCGGACCTGATCAGCAAGGTAATCCAGATCGCAAAAGGGACGGGAATCGCAGAGGGCCGCGAGATCCCCCTGCGAATTCCATTTGGTAGCGACAGTCTGGGCTTCCTGCGCCAGAAGATTCAACAGTTGACGCAAATTGCGGATGACTGGGAGGAAGTGGCACGCAGTACGGATTACCTCGGGCACAAAGGCCCCATGCCCGATCTGCCTCAGTAGTCCTACGATTCAATATATTTTCATTATCTGATTCCGTACAATCATCTTCGGTGGCGGACACCAGACCAATTTCTGTATTTTTCCCCTCCGCCGTCCTCCAATTTCTTCTTAGGCCCGCATAAGCGCCGCAGGGATCGGGCTGCAAGCCTCCAAGCCCATGCCGGCTGACGGCCGACTTAGCCCCGCCCCCTTTGCGCCCCCAAAAAGATCATGCAGCCCGAGTGCAGTGGTATACATAAGACACGCAAATTTAGTTGGCTAGTCGCAGCCGGGGAGGGTGAGGGGGATTGTTGGCTGTTACACGAAGGGTATTATCCAAGGGGCTGCCCGTACATCCGATCGGATCTCATCGCATCGCATCTCTTGCCATTTTACCCTCTCGCTCTTCACGCCGCCTGGTCACTTGTTATAAGACCTTTCTTCTTGCTCTTCCCCCCCGGTCGGCTCACGGTTCCTGGCTAAGTTCACGCCTCACAATGAAGTCACTTCACCCAACCGGTCGAGAAAACCTGGCCGGAGCGGTTTCCATGCTCGGCTTGGCCTTTTTCTCCGTCCTTCTGCGCTTTGTCGTCCGCTTCACCACGCGAACGAAGTTCACCATCGCCGACTGGCTCATCCTCTTTTCCCTCGTGCTCTTCGTCGTCTTCGCCGCTTTACTTATACACTGTCGGTCTTTCCCGACTTCTCTTGGACCTTGAGTTCCCTTCGTCGCTGACCTTGGACCGATAACGCAGATATCGTCGACGGTCCGGGACCGGGCACGTTCGAACTTACCGACTTCGTCATCAATGCCAAAATCGGAGGGATGATGTGGAGCAGGGCGTTCATGCAGGTGCGTTTATGACCTGTCTTCTTTCTGCCGTCTCCCACGAGGGCCGGATCATATCTCGTGTTTAAAATGGCATGACTGAACTGTACTGGAACTACACTAAACTGAAAACTCTCAATAGACGCTCTACGTTGCCGACCTCTTCTACATCTCCAGCATTACCTTCATCAAAATCTCGATCCTCGCCTTCTTCCACAGCCTCTTCTCCATTTCCGTCATCTTCCAGCGCTTTAATCTTCTCGCCATCGCCCTCTCCATCGTCTGGTTCTTCGTCTTTTTCTTCATCAACGCCTTCCTATGCCGTCCCGTCCACATGCTCTGGGATGCCATGGGCTCCGTCGAATACTGCTTCCCCAGCGGTAGCGTTTGGCTAGGTCTCGAGGTGACCAATTGCATCATTGACTTTTATATTCTCCTCCTGCCACTCGCGATGATCAATACACTGAAGCTGAACTTCGTGCGGAAATGCCAAGTGGGCGGCATTTTCCTGCTGGGTGGACTGTACGTTTCATCCCTGTCCCCGTCCTTGTCCTACTTCATTTTGCCCTGATAACCCAACCTAACCTAATCTGACCCGATCTACCTACAGAGCCTGTGTCACCAGTATCATCAAAATCGCATACATGTGGAATCCCAAATCCCCAGAGGTCGTACGACTCCCGATGACCATGTTCTGGTCGTCCGTACAGCTAGGCGTGGCGACCCTCTGCGCATGCATGCCGACGTACGCGGCGTTGTTCAAAACCGCGCGGGAGAAAATCACCCGGAACTATCCGTCCAGAAACCCGTACGTTGCGTTTTCTTTCTTCCTCGCCCCTTCCCTTCCCAACTCCCCTCCAAAAAAGTCTTTCTTTTTTTCCTTCCGAATTTCCAGTCTAACCTCCTCCCCTGTCTTGGATTGAATCCTTCGTTTCAGAGCCGTTAAGCCTTCCCACTACTACCGCATGGGCGAGGACTCCAGCAACGTCAAGTCGCAATTCACGGTCGGGAGTGCCTCGCCATCATATCAGATGGATCAGATGGAACCCGGGGCGATCTACGTGAACCGAAGTGTTGATGTGAATGTGAAATAGGAGTAAGTTAAGGTTGGATTTGGGTTTGGGTTTTCCTTTTTTTTTTTTCTCTCTTTCTCTTTTTTCTTTCTTTTGGACCTGGGCCTGGAAAAAGGCGTTCTTGTCTCAACAACTCACCCTCGGGATTTATTAATGCATCTGAGTCTATGTAGAGGGTGAAGGTATACTTTCTTTTTTCTTCTCTGTTTTGGGATATGAATATTATACACGGATCTATATGCCTCATAGGATGTACAATATACGTGAGCAAAGTGTTTCATTTACTGAATTCATTGATTGAGTGTTGTATGAAGAATTCACGATGTTGCCTGTCTAAAAGGTGCCCTGGAGAGGTATCGTAAGTAAGCGGCGAAATACTTGGCATCTTGCCTCAGGTATCTAGACGCCTATACCTACATAACCACGGAGTACACGATCAGTTCATTCTTGGTCGTTGAAATTTCCTTTGCAGAATTTCCCCTGCCCACAACCCTCAAAATAACACTTTTCACAACGGATGAAAATCAATACTCGATAGAAATAATCCTGCAAGGCTATGGCTGTCAATGTTGATCCCATGTTGATCCACACAACAGATAAAAATCAGTAGGCACCTAGCTAGCAACAAAAACATCAAACTGCAAGGCTGTCAATGAGGATCCCATGTTGACCCCCACATATAACCAGTGCTACCGAGCAGTTAGGGGCCTTAGGGCCAGGCTATGGAAGCTTAAATCAAGAATTGTCAAGGACTCAAAGGCCCCGCCCGGGCGGAGCCCAAAGACGGGAAACTTAAGAAAGGAGATTCTCCACCAGAATCCCCACCACATCCGCCAGCCACTCCGTCACAAACTCCCGCTCGTGGTACGTCTCATTAAAGCACGTCGAGAGGTGCATTTCCCCATCCCAGCTCCACACGTGGACGTACAGCTGCGGCGACAGCTGATGCACGGCCACCGAGACGTCCGCGACGTCGACGTCGTCTGCGTAGCGAGGTTTGACGTAGCGGTCTAGCACGCCGAGACTGCTGATGCTGGGTTCCGAAGCCGGAGGCAGGTCGGGGGGCGGGGGTGTCGCGAGCATGGTGATTACCTTGTTGATGTAGGGGACCCGATTGTACAGCAGGTCGCTATCAGGGGGTGTCCACGGCTGCTCGTGGTAGATGGTTTGCAGGGCGTGTGCCAGATCGGGCCAGGGGGCACGGGCGTCGAGGTTGATGGGGAGGCCAAAGGTGCGGAGGGAGGGGGCATGTAGGGGCCCGTCGAAGGGCGCAGGACAGTGTTTTCGAAGATCGAACATCGCCCAGGAGGTGAAGCGTGTGGCCGGGGAGGTTGGGTTGGCGCGCACCGTCGCGACGATCGCTGATGCGTGCACCGCACTGGTCACCGTTACGTTGTGTCGTGAGCGGGCGGCTCGTCGGATGGAGGCTGTGAGCTCTCGTGGGATGACTTGCTCGACTCGGATCGTCTTTCCGGGGAGCTGCGGCACTGGCGAAGGCGCATCGGAGGAGGACGAGGGAGCCTTGTAAACCCCGATGGATGGTATCCCGGCGATGAACTTGCCGAGGAGGTCGTCAGCTTGTTTGTCCCAGCCGAGCGCACGGGTCTTGTCCTCTTTCTCGATCTCCGGCATGCCCAGGACGACATCGAGAGATGGGACCAGGCGGGCAGCCTCGCGGCCGTCCAAGTCGACGGAGGCTGTTGGGGCCGAGGGTGGATGCTCCAGCTGAGCCAGCAGCTCGTGGAGCATCATGAGAAGACCACATCCGTCCCAGCGCCAGTGCTGGGAGACGAGAACCAGTTCGCAGCTAGCCGGGACCCAGTGGCAGGTGGCTTGAGGGTCGGCGCGTCGCAGCCGATGAGTGAAGAAATGATCGGCGGACGGCACGTCGGACTCGATGCGAAAAGTAGCGTCGCTCCAGGCGTGGAGGGCCTGTTGGCTATGCACGGGGAGGTACCGCTTCTCGTTCCCCTCGACCAGCTCGAGGGCAATGTCGGGGTGTTGCAAACGCAGTCGTTTCCACGCCTGGCGGAGCTCGTCCGCTATCGAGTCCGCCTTCGTGGGGGACAGCTTGAGCCGCACATTCCCCACGAGCAGCCAGTGCTCGCGATCCAGCGGCTTGGCCTGGTCGCCAATAAACTGGAAGAGTCGATCATGGCAGTCAAGTGGCCGACTCCAGGAGCCGTCACGCTGTTCAGTCCACGACATTTCTCGTTTAGTTTCGCAGGACGGTGGGAGGGAGAGGTGTGTGTTCTGGGGGAGGTTTTTTCTTGTTTTTTTTTTTTGATTTTTTGTTTTTTTTGCCCCCTTCACCAAACCTCCCCTAGTGCCCCTGAAGGACGTATATTTAAATGCACGGGAAGACAACAGAATCCGGAGTGGTGCGTTTGTACTCCGTACTGAGTCCTGAGTATGGACAATATTTTGTGATGATCCGACCACAGTAAGTAAGCACTAAGGTCGACTCCACCGTGAGACTGAATCTGGTAACCCCGATAGGCCTTGGCCATGAAACGGAGAAGGCGCCGTGAGGGGCCCCAAAATCTCACCTGCATGTATGGAATTGTGAGAGAGTTTGGAGTTTTACGCGTACGCAGTCGGTTATCTCAGGCCTGATACCGTACGAAAACGATGTAATACCATGTCATTTGAGGATACCTATTGATAGATCTACGTACATTACAAAGTCCAACACTGGCAACAGGCATCACGCCCCTCCCCTGGGTGACAGAGTCAGATTCAACGACCCCAACTCCATCACAAAACAGTCCTTCACGTTGCGGAGGAATTTCTCCTTCGTCTCACCCGGCCCCAACTCAATGTCGAAGCTGGTGATCAGCCGCGCGATCGTGGTGCGCATATTCAATAACGCCAGTGGTCGGCCAACGCAATTATATGGTCCTATAACATTATTCAAATTGAATTAGCAGACATATTCACGGCAGAGAGCCTGATTCTGAGGATTCTTCCTACCAATACTGAACGGTATAAAGGCCGATTTGTTCCGAATGAGTTCCGGTCGGCTGTACCATCTCTCGGGGATGAATTCAAACGGCTTGGCGTAGGATAGTTCCGCTGCTCTCTTTATCAGTAATGAGGTGTCAGAAAGTGGAAGTAGAAGAAAGGAGATACCCACATCGCGCCATCACCCACTGCGGACAATAAACCGTGATATCGCCGGGAATACGCACCCCCTGGACGACGATCCCCTCCGGCGGCGTCTTCCGCGGTAGAGTGCCTGGAACAGCAGGAAAGAGACGCAGCCCCTCGTTGATGACCCCGTTGAGGTGCGGGAGCTGCGCGATCTGCGAATGCAGGAATTCGTCCCCGGCGGAAGGGTCCGCGTCACGATAGGGCTCGAGCTCGCGCCGCAATTTTTCGATCTCATGCGGGTGGTGCGCGAGAAGGTAGAAGATCGCCGTTAAGGCGTTGGCCGTGGTATCGCTACCGGCGATCAGCACGACACGCGCATCGCTGTTCAATCGGTGAATCTCGTCAGGGGTAGGTGGCTTGCCGCGCAGGGAGCCGATCAACGCGGCGCTGATATCGGGCACCTCGGGCTCGTTCTCCAACCGCTGTTGGAATCGCTTCGCGCACCAGTCCACCAGTTTCCAGAAGTCAGACATCAGGCCGGGGGTGTTGCGGATCGTGAGGAAGACCCAGACGGGGAACCCGATGCCGAAAAATACCATCGACCCTTTGAGTAGCGTGACGACCCAGTGCTCCTCTCCCGTCTCTAAACACCCGAAGCTTTTGCCGAACGCAAGGTCGCCCATGACATCGAAGCTGTACAGACTGATCCAGTGGTGCAAGTCGACGGGAGTGGCTCCGCTAGCTCGCAGTTGCTCGACGAGCTTCTGGCGGTAGACCCGCGCGCGGAGCTCGTAGCCACGCACCATCTTGTCGCTGAAGGCGGGGCTCCAGGCGCGTCGGTGGATATGGTGACTGACCGGGTCGCGGTGCGTGTTCAGCGAGTGATTTCCGTGCGACCAGTCGTACCAAGGGTCCTTAGTGCACGGAGAGCGGGTGCCGTAAATGGCCTCGACTGCATGCGGGTCGATCACGGAGAGGTCTGACGAGCCAGTGCGCACGTACGGTCCGTACTGAGCATGCAGGTCGAGGAGCGTGTGGCAGGCGTGCCCGATGCGTCCAACCATATAGAGGGACGAGAGGCGCGCTGCCCGGGGCCCCGGGAACCGACCCAGCGGGTGCAGCCATAGTCGGTAGACGGCGAGGCTGCCGTAGAGACCGGCCAGAAAAGAGGCCAGGAGTTGGGTGGCGATGCGCACAGCGTCAACGAAGTTGACGGCAGGACTGGACAGGTATCGCAGACCGAGCACGGTGGCCGTAGCGATTCCTACGAAAAACTTGATATAGGCCTCGGCGTAGAGGTGGTGTTCACCGCGGTTAAAGTAGAAGATATGGCTGAGGATGCCGAGGACCGCCGCGTGGGCGGTCGGATGCATGGCCACCTCCATTCTGTTGGTAGAGTTGGAGGATTTCTCTTGTTGACTGAATTTGAGGCCGATTCTTGCTTCTCAAATATATGACAAATAAATGGCCCAACACTTGGCCCCACGCCAGCTGGATTGACCGCTCCGAACAGAGTCCACTGAAAAGTCCACTGAGAAGGCAGTAGTAAGCAAGCACACCACGCCAGTCATGCAGGTCGCTGCGAGAGACCTGCATATACTCCACGATATAGCACCATGCCATGCCGCGTGTCCTATGGAAAGGGTGCCTTGGAGGGGTGCTTGGCAGATTGCCTCAGGAATCAAACCACTGTAGGCGCTTGATGCCTGAGGCAATCAAAGTTCAACAGCCTGAAAAATAGCGATTTAACATGGAAGTTGGATAAGTTCAAATTGAATGCGCAGTGACATAATATAAGCAAAGCAATGCATAAGTATTTGTTCCAATATTAGAACAGAATGATATTTGGTTTTAATATATGTAATAATGGTCCCAGGAATACAAGCACAGCTTATTCTACTTATTCTTGACCGAATGAAAGCCCGACAAAATATAAACATGTAAACAACAATATCAACGCGCAATATTAGCCTTACAGGTAGTCCAGGGCCCAGAAAGAAAATCCATACTATACATAGACCACACGCGCGATTCCCCAGACAGCCACCAGGGTTCACTCAATACTAATAGACATCTAGACAATATAGCAACGCAGGAGATAACACAGCATAGATACCTAGAGGCGCGCCAAATGTTTAGCCTCTGTCCCTTGCCGAGAAGGGTATATAGTGCTAAATATTTCGAGACCTATGACGGACCCTAGAGCGTTGAGACGTAAGGAAATAAGGAACATATGAGGAGCGGCGTCTAGAGAAGTATACTTTTAAGGTACATTCACGGTTGGCTTAAAACGCAGGTTCCCAAAATAACCGCACAGGTTCTTTTCCCTATTAGCACTAGCCCATGTGTTGTGATCGACATTGCATTTGAGCGGCATTTGAAGCACTGGAGATAGTCGAGAAGTGAGGAGACCGACACTCAAGGTTATCCTGATAGATGGGAATTTTGTAGAGTATAAGAGGTCTATTCTGATATAATATTTACATATGAACTATTAATCAATAGGAATGCAATGAGACAAGCTTCAAAATAGCAGAAACTAACTTGTGAAGCCCTATAGCGTTTTGATCGCTGCTATATATTATATACTAACAAAAAGGGACTGCTATGACGGCATGAGTGTATGGAAAATCTTTTATTAAAATTCGACTATCGTGTTCATTTCTAATCATGATGAGTACAGTGTACCAAATAGAGCGATGAAGAAGACGAGTTTAGTCCTTGGTCTCTTGACTATATTAGAATTGGAATTATAGTGCGTACACCGAAGATATATTCGAAGACAGCCGAGAGAACGTATAAACAATCTAACTATCAGCACTATATTCCGTCTATATGAAACTTGCTTGTGCTATTGCTTGGTCTTTACTATAGACACGGGGAGTCCTCCGAGATGGTGCTGGATCGTAAAAGCAATGTCTGGCACCGCGGCCCACGACCCACTGGGCAAGATGGCGTCCATCCCACCTACTCCAGCCCGTGATGACCTTGGGGCCCTGAAGTTCAACGACAATCGTTGAGTCGTCATCGTCCAGCCCGAATAGGTTTCACTTAACGCACTGTAACGCTGCAATAGTGGTGATGGCTTTACTGCTTGAGACAATGGCCAAGGTTGCATCAAGTTCGAAGGGCCTCTCCGAGCCAGGTTTTAAGGATGTATTGCTAGTGGTATTCTCGTATTGGAAGATGCCTGCCCATCGGTTGACAGGGGTTGATCTTTTTTTTTTTTTTTTTTCCCTTTTCTTGCTTTTGAGGAACGGGCCACTGGTATTCATTGCAATAAATCCAACACCGGGGGCCGGAGGCTCTACTCCATTGTCCACTGCATGGTTAGAACTCAAAAAACACGCCACCTCGCCTGATCATACGGAGTTCTGGCTCTAGGAGATAAGACGCCGATCACTACCAATTTAAATGCGCCAAGGTGGGGGGCAATTGAGGAGATAACTCCATCTTACCTCGAGCTTCCTGGGGGGATAAGGATACCAACATTCCCAATGGCAATGAAACTTTGTCATTTGCGATTAGGGATTATTCCGAAGTATATAACTGTCTCTGTTAGATTTACTGCATATATTACTACGGAGTAGGGTCAGTTCAGATTTTCAATATGTTGCGCAGTGGTGGGATTTTCGTACTCGGATAAGCAGGCAAGGGGCGCACTTGCAGGGAGTTCTTTTGGAGCGCATACGGTACTGACCTATTTATCCTTGTCCCTAGCCTAGTCAACTCTACTGTTTGAGATAATGACTCATATTTCGTAAGAATAGGCATCTAGGTTAATTTCGGCGGCGGAACCTTTCATCCATGGTTGTTCTTTTTCAACGGCCTCTATAAGCTGTTGATGGCCTGGGCTACGCACATCAATCCGGCAGTCGAAGGGATCCGGATGGCTAACGGCCAAGGCTGTGAAGTGAATTGGAATAGGAACTTCCTTTCCATCCTTTACGGCTTTCGAGACGTTGAACACTGCCAAAGACCGGGCGATGGTCATGTAGATGGTGGCTTCGGCCTGCAGCCGTCCGGGGCAAATGCGACGTCCAAACCCGAATACAATCGAGCTGGGATCAGGTTCTGGCGTATGGCCATCTGTAACAAGGAATCTCTCGGGCTTGAACGCCATCGGGTCGTGATACATACTTGGGTCATGAAGAAACCACCTATTTGTATTGAGATCAGTGGGCTGGTTTTGAGCGTGGGAGATGCTCGGGGGGAGAATAAAGAAACACCTACCAAACGTTGGGAACGAGGCACGCATCCCTCGGAATGCGATATCTATTGTAAACATCATCCTCGGCTGCCGTGTGCGTCACCCCCATGGGCGTAACAGGCTGCCATCGCAGGGTTTCCTTGACCAATGCCTCGATGTATGGCAGGTTTTTTCGATCTTTCATGGTCGGCAGGCGGACTCGTACCCACGACTCGGTCTATTTCGTCTTGGGCCTTCCGCTGGACGTTCGGGGTCAGGGCCATGACCATGAAAAAGCTGGTTATGGCAGAATTTGTCTTATATAGGGTGATCGGGATGGGTTAGCACATAACTGCCTTCAAATGGGGTCGATTGCCGAGCTTACCGTGTCGGCTCCTCCAGCAAACATCGCAGCAGCTGTCCACTTTACGACGACCTCCTCATCGGACTTCGATTCGAGAAGATCAGTAACAAAACAGCGAGTATAGTCCTCGCGAGCTATTTGCTTTTGCGTAAATTCAAACGGCATGTCGTTCAGCACGTTTACCCGTTTATTGTACGCATTGGCAAGCTTGTTAAAGCCGTCACTGGGAAACCATTCAGGAAGGTGGCTTACTGTCGATTCGATTAGTTCTCGATCTCTGCGACGTCAAGATGGACTGGCTCTCACAAGACGGCAGGAAGTTCACCATCCAAGCTCCAGGCATTATCAGTCGTGCGAAGTCAGTCATAGTTGCTTGCATGAGGTCGAGTAGCGGATCATCACCATGAGGCTCGAGAGTGTAGCCATAGACCATCTTTAGAATGACGGCACCCGACATCTTTGTTATGTTTTTAGGTAGCTTTTTCGACGTTGTATGAAGCAATTTATATAGGAACCGATGGGACTCCACTTCCAAGATACCGTTATACTTGAACAAGGCAGCGGTCGTACCAATGTCTTGATAGATCGTTTTACGAAAGGCGCGGAAGCGCTCGGATCTGGGGAGATGACGGAGGCTCGCCTTCCAGCCAGTTCTGCCAGCCTGTTAGAAATCGCATTTCAAACTTGACTTTTGACAGGGTGGCTGGTCTTCAAACATTTCAGCAAGCGGCAGGTTAGGCCGCGAAGAGTATTGACCCGATCGCTTTTCCATGAGATCAACTGCAGCTTCGTGGCTATGCAAAATGACCAGGGTTTGTCCGAATATCGTGACCGAACTAATAGGACCTATTCGATTAAAGATCGATTAGCCATGCGTTCCCTCAAACGGGCTGTCGGCGACAACAAACATACCATAGAGATCTTTATGCTTTAGCCAGTGCTGCCAGCCCTGCGAACCCGTCGGTGGCAGATCCAATAGGTTACCGATAATTTGTTTCGGAGGCGGTCCCGGGGGCAATGGCAGACTATCCTTTCTGCGATCAAAAAAGAGATATTTCACGGTGTAAAGGCCGATGAGGCCGAGGATGACGTGAGCCAGAATCGCCATAATGAAAGTGCTGGTTTCGAGCGAGAGAAACCGATTGAGCTCTTGCGGCGCCGAACATGAAGGTGAGCGCCGCATTGAAATAGTTTGGGGAGCCTTCGATGATGACTTTTTTTGGCCCCAGACTCCCACGCCTATCGGTTGGACGTGGCGTTGCCCCTCTGTACGGTGGGTATACGTTATCCCGTAGTTGCATCGAGATCACACCCGCTAGCGGCGCTGTCCATCTGGCCTTTATGGAGAATCTAACCCCCCATCCTCTTCCTGTGGGTACATACATGCCGCCTGTGCGTATAGTCTGGCGACTCTAGCGTGGCTCTGAAATAAACGGGAGCCGAAATAGAGGATAATGGAACAAACCAACCAACCAACCAGTCGGGTACATAGATGCTATGGCCTCCAATTCCACATGCCATGATGCTAAGGCCTTCCCAGCATTGATGTTCATCGAATTCACCGAGGACGCAGCTCAGTGTGATCAGAGAAATGCCAAGAGCAACGCCCCCGGGGGTCTATATATGTCAAATGTAAGGGTAGGGGTGCTTGGAGGGGTAGATGCGCTCGCTGAGAGGAGTAGGGGGCTTAGCTGCCAGGTAGGGACATGATTAATAAGAGCTTTCCTGTGACTTATGCTTTCATTATTCCGTGTATCAGCTCTACCGTAGCAATTCTAGTTTGCATGTGAGACTTCTTGTGATATCTTCAAGTCGAATAGTCTCATAAGTCCAGATCTTAATGTGGAGGTACAGTACATGCGCCAAAGTTGGGCGTGTGGGATGACTATAACTAGAGAGCAAAATATACGAAATCACCCAAGTGAATCGGAATAGAACGGAGTACTATATGATATTCACACACGCTACAGAGTTCCCTTGGGATGTCTCATTTTGCGAACTCCTGACCGGATGGAAGTCCAACAAAGCATAAACATGTCAACAACGATTATAACTCACAATCTTACCGCTACTGTTCCGCTAGTTTGGACCACACTGTGAAGTAAACCCGCAAGAGCTCGGGCATGGACGGTAGCTCCAAGATCTCCGGGGAATCGGCCAAGGCCCGTCGACAATTTGTGTTCTCAAACATGGTCTTCTCAACATTATCCGTCTGCCAGAAGACCAAAGCTTCCTGAAGTTTTTCCTGAATATATGAAGACGCGACTTTGAGATTTTGTGCCGCATGCATTGCAAAAATGTTGGTCCACTCCGAAGGCGGCACGCGTTTTAAGGGCGGCGAAGTGGACTGGCCCACCATCTCGAGTGTCTCATCCCATGTCAGAGTCTGATCCTGGTCAGGCAAAACACAATTATAAGCATGGCTTCGGTCGCTGCCCAGTGAGATTCGCAGCATCGCTGAGCAGGCAAAGTCCACAGGAGCCAATTGGCACCGGGCGTCCGGGGCAATCGGATAACATCCGATACGGATAGAGCTGGCCATCAATCGACTGAAAGCATCCTCTACATTCGCAGTCCCCGTCTTGCTATGGCCGGTTATAAGAGGCAGTCGATATATGGTCACTGGCATACCATTTTCAATGGCGTTCCAGGCAATGCTTTCGGCCACGACCTTACTCTGGCTGTAGCCAACGTGCTGTTTCATGAATGATTCCATGTTATCAAGAGCCGGTCTCTCGTTTTCGGGAACAAGCCTCCCCCCATCGAGGTATACGGATGCCCCGCAAGCTGAAATGCTAGAAGAATAGTGGAGTGGCTTGAGGCGCTTCGTATTAGCAAATCGGAGCATGTTGAACATCCCAAGAACATTGGCGTCGCGATGGCTCGAGTACGGAAGCGTGTAGGTGGAACGGGCTGTAAGATGGAAGATGACGCTGGCCCACTCAGCAAAGTATTCAAACTTGTCCTGTCCGAGCTTGAATGTAGGATCGGCGACATCACCCGGAACCACAATAATCTTGGACTCGAAATCTAGAGGAAGTCCGTAATGCTCCAGGGTTTCTTTCATTCGTGACATGCCTGTAGAGGCATCTGGTGCCCGCACCAAGCAGGCAATTTCTTTCACCTGTGGAAGGCTGGCTAAGTGTGAAAGGAAAAAGGCAGCCAAAAATCCGGTTGCTTCAGTCAGGAATACTCGACCTTCGGATTCGGAATGCCAGCACGGAACAGGGGCTGATATTGGCTGCAGATTCTTAGCCAGCTCCAAATCTTCCCTAAAAAGCGCAACCTCATCGACCTGGTTTGTTTCTGCACCCACGATGGCCCCTTTCACATTTTCAAGCTCTCTAGCATTGTGCCTTTCGCGAAGAATCTTCATCGTGATCGCGCCGAGCCCTTTGACGTTTCTTGCATTGGAAATCTCTGCGATTGACACCTCAATGCCGACATTGCGCCGGAACCAGCTGCGTATCTCGATGGTCATTAACGAATCGATTGTAATTTCAACAAGTTCCTCCTCTGTCATTTCGGTAGGATATGACATGTTTGTGGCAACCATGCGACCGATCTCGTACGTAATTTTGACCTCAGTGGCTGGATCGTAAAGAAGAGCTGGATCACGCTTGATTGAGGCCACCAAGGCTTTCAGCTCGTTATCTTGACTTGTATCCTCTCCACCAGTGCCTACCAGCATATTGTGCCATGCAAGAAAGCGAGCGTCCTGTCCCATCGTGCCACCCTTCTCAATCTCCGACGGGGGTTTAGTAGTCCCCATACCTATGGCAAGCTGGGGCGTGCCCTGGATTATCAGAATTTCGAGAGCTCTAAGAAGATCACCCTCCTGGAGAATCTCCCAAGATGTCATGCGTGCTCGGTCCAACATCCTGCTGAAGTTCTCGTAGACGAAGCCAACATCACCCATAAAGCCAAGGTCGAGCACGCTAGCTGGTAATCCCTTTGAGTGACGGTACGTCACAAAGGCGTCCAGGAAGGTATTGGCAGCTGCGTAATTAGCTTGTCCGCTATTTCCGGCAATACCGGAGACTGAACTGAACAAGATAAAGAAGTCGAGTGGCTGTTTCTCGACTGCGTGATGTAAATTCCAAGTACCTTGGACTTTAGGAGCAAGGACTTCTATCCACTCCTCATACGTCATCTTGTCCAGAGTTTGATCCTATTGGATGGCGGAAATTAGCAACAATAACTTTCTCATGTAGAATGTCAATCAGGAATGATAGTCTTTAACAGAAACACTCACATGAAGTACCATGGAAAGTTGCAGGACTCCTGCCAGTGGTCGTGTCGCGCCAGACACCGCTCGTGCAACGTCGTTAGCATTTGACACGTCCCCAGTGACTGTCGTGGTGTGACACTCCGCCTGAGACTCCAAATCTTGGATGAATTCTCGATTCTTAGATGATTCCAGACCGGACCTTGACATGAAGACCAAATGCCGGGCACCTTTCTCCAACATCCATCTGGCCACAGCACGCCCGAGTCCTCCCAAACCACCCACCAACAAGTATGAAGCGTCATGACGGAATAGTGCACCTTTTCCTTGCAACTTGGACACCGAAAGTTCGGATGGGTCACGAGGCATTTCAAGCACAATTTTGCCAATGTGCTTGCCAGCTTGCATGTGTCTAAATGCTTTAGCCACATCAGACGCGTTAAACACATTAACAGGCCGGATAGGACTGAGTTTCTCCTCATCCAAATACTGTTTGAATTGTTCCATTGTGTTTCGCATGAGTGACGGGTTCTGCTCGCCGCGTTGAAGAAGATCCACACCCACGAAGGTCCGATTCGCACCAAAAATGTCCATATCCAGTTTGCCGTGCCCGAGAAAATCGCGTTTACCCAGTTCAATCATCTTACCCATAGGAGCAACACATCTCCACGATGCATGCAGCAGTTCTCCGGAAAGAGAATTTAAAACCAAGTCAACACCCCTATTACCGGTCATGTTCATGACATTCTTTTCGAAGCTAATGCTTCTCGAGTCGAAGATGTGGTCTTCGGCAATATTGAAGGTTTCCACGAGATGGTTTCTCTTCTCCTGGCTTCCAACCGTGGCGAATATCTCGGCCCCAATTGCCTGGCATAGCTGAATCGCAGCCAAGCCAACGCCGCCGCAGGCGCTGTGGATGAGAATCTTTTGTCCTTTCTGCAGATTTCCGCAGTTGATCAAGGAATAGATAGCGGTAGAGAAAACACAAGGGCACGCTGCTGCATCCTTGAGAGACATATAATCAGGAATCACGAAGCAAAAACTCGCAGGAATTATCTTCCGAGTACCCATAAGACCTTTCCTCAGGATGGAAACTCGGTCTCCAACCTGGATGGTTTTCACTTCTGATCCCACATTTCGAACGATACCGGCAGCTTCAAGGCCAATCTGGCTGGTGTCTCCCATCAGGCCCATCGATATCATTATGTCCTAAAGTAAATAATCATTAAACCAATTTGATCCGGAGAGTTTCTTTTCTCACATATACGTACCCTGAAATTTAATCCGACAAAGCAAATGTCCACTTCAACGTCGTGCTCACCAAGGGGTTTGGATCGTCCTTCCAAGGCCCAAGTCAGAGAGTCAAACATGCCAAAGCACCCAATATCCAAAGACCTCGGTTCAAGTCCCTGGCCCCTGGCCATGAGATCCTGGAAATAATCGTATTGGAACCGGCCCACCTGGACTGTCCCATCTTTGATAACAAATTCGTGGTCGTTGTCCGCCGGTGACTCATGTCTGTGACTGAAAGTCTTTTGGAATACTTGATAGACGTTTTCTGTCGCACTGGTGTCCTTTTGGTCCAGTTCAAGGGTTGCAAATCTTGCCGCAAATTCTTTCCGTACTGTTCGCATCAGTCCGAGTGTCAGGGCAAACCTAGGATCTGGATCTTGTTCATCGAGCTGGACTGGGCGAATCAGCCAGAGACAGTACTCTTTGACACGTGAAACGAAATTTTGGAAGGCCTGGAATTCTTGATTTGAAAGACAGTTGAAGAACGGGGAATCAAGTTCAATCAATGATATAACGTCATTGATTGAAGAAGGTAGTTCGTCCAGGGTATACCATTGAACATTGACTCCCTTGGCTAAGAATGCCTGTTCGAGATCGCGCGCCCACCTGGAGACTGTGCCGCTGTGAAGGAAGCTGATATCTCTGACAAGTGGTCTCGTGGTCCTTTGCCGCTGCGAGATCATATAGGCATTCATATTGTAAGGTGGCTCGCGATCATATCGGACAATGTCAACGCCTGTGAATCCAGCATCTAGAAGGCATTGGTGCCATTGCGCGACAGATATCATTGGTATTTCCCTTGAGTCCTCCGAGCTCCACCAACCAGGAAGAGTACCCATGATGTAGTTCAAAGCTGGGACAGTGGGACAAAGCTCTGTGAGGAACAACCGACCCCCTGGAACCAAAAGCTTACGAAGATTTTTGAGTGTCTCCAAGATCCTTGGAGTAGCATGAACGACATTAGAGGCAATGATTAAGTCGTAGTCTTCCGCGGCAAACCCTTGCTCTTCAGGGTCCGCAGATATATCGAGCGTCTCGTAACCAAGCCCCGGGAAGTCCTTAAAGCGCTCTTTTGCCTGAGAGAAAAAACCCGCTGATATGTCAGTAGAAGTGTAGCTCGAGTACATGCGGCTCTTATGAGTTGTTGTAGAGAACAAGGCATCGAGAGCAACCGCAGTGGCTCCACCAGTTCCTGCGCCAACTTCCAACACTTTGAGAGTAGGTCGTGAATGGCTGAGCAGGGACAAGAAGTTTTCCGGGTGGCATAGCCGAGACGACTCTTCGTACATGAATCGGACAGCATCGCTTTCCATAATTACCTCCAGGGCACTTATTTTGTCATCGAGGATATCTTGGATATTCGACAGAACCTCCTGGGCCGCAGTATTTAAACTCTTCGCCAAAGGGTCTTTGATGGTTTTCTCCAGCTCTTGGATCCGTGGCAGACGGCTTTGGGGGTCGGAGGCAGACTTATCCCTCATTTCAGGAAGAAGACCAGGATCATCATCTTTTATCTTCTCGTATTGCGAGGACAACCACTTATGGTACTTTTTCAAATGTTCCTTTGTTGGACAGGATGATTTTGTCTGGTGATAAGTTTCCAGTATCAAAAGTTTTGTCATTTCTGAACCCAGCTTTCCGCCATTCGTGTCGTCTGGAATAGGTGGAAGTAGCGTCTCAGGTTGAATAAAATCGATATGAGGTTTCCAGATTAATGTTGCGGCAGACGGCCCATTCTCATCATTGAGCGCCGATTCACTGATGCCGAAGAAGAAACATCGCTTCAGAGAAAGCACAGGCTTCTCATCCGCAATCAACAAGGTATCGCCAGTCATCGTGCTTCCAGCTGCATCACATCTCGCTTTCAAAGACATTGATTCCCGTCCAGTAGCGATATACAGACTCTCGATCGCGGTAGGTATGCATAACTGCGTCATGGAACGTTTAATTCCTTGAGCACCTGCTACACTTAACAGTTGGAGGCATTGGTCTATCAAAACTGGGTGGAGGGAATAGCGGCTAGCTTTCAGCTCGCTCGCATCATGTAAAATTGCCGCGGCCTCGGTACTCGTCGGGCTCGCAGTAATATCACGCAGCCCGCGAAATCGAGGACCGTACTCAAGACCTCTGTTTTCCAATGCCTCATACCATTCCTTGGCCGGTACTTTGCGTGTATAGGAAACAATTGGACCTTCCCCGCAATCGAGTCCATCTGGTTCTGCTCGAATTTGTCCAACACAATGTTTCTTCCACACCCCGTCCTGATGCGCAGTGATTGAGAAGTCGTACCATTGCGAATCCAGATGATCCGTGAGTTTTGTTGGTCGAAGGCTCGTTATGATCTCGGCGGCTTCTGTATTTGTTTCTTTCAGTACTAATGCATTTCGCATAAACACATTTTTCACTGAATATTCGGGCGTCCCGGAGATCTGCTGGATAGCCTCTCCTACCATGGCCACATATCCAGCCGCTGGGAAGACGATTTCTCCCCCGATCTTATGTTCCATGATCCATGTTACATTTTCCAACTGCAGCATGTTCCGCCATACGGGTTCCAAGTCGCTGGATTCAAGAGCTCGACTTCCCAATAGCTCATGATGGGGAGCCTGTCGAAGTCTCCAGCCCTTTGTCAGACGGGACTCGTTCCAAAACGATTCATTATGGTCCCAGGAGTAAGGGGCAAGGTCTGTCAACGTCGTGCCCTGACAAATCAGACGCGATAGATTGACATCAGTGCCCTGGGTGTGTAACTGGCCCGCCGTGGCCAATAAACACCCCCATTGGTCTTTGCCCCGAACAAAGGTTGGTGTGTATGAACATTTCCCTCCCGCGTCGGCATGAGAAATTATTTGCCGCAAAGGACCAGAGAGAGCCGAATGCGGCCCTATCTCAAGAAGTACCTTTTTCTGCTCATTACCGCAGAGTATCTTCTGAAGAGCAGTGTTAAATAGGACTGGGGACTCCACGTTCTTCCTCCAGTATGAAGGGTTCAGAAGACAGGGGTCAGAAATCGTTTCGTTGGTGACGGTGGACACCAGTGGGGTCATGGACTTATTAAAAGAAATATCCGAAAGCAGAGATTCGAAAAATCCACCCGTCTCCTCCATATGGTGTGAATGGTATGCAACATTAACTGCAAGACGTCGACAGAATATCTCACCCTTTGCATCTATTTCTTTCAACACATCATCTATTGCTTCCTTGTTTCCAGAGATGGTCACGCTTTGAGGGCTGTTTTCACACGCCACAACGACACCATCCCTCAGATATTGCTCCACTTCGGTACGTCCAAGGCCGATTGCTGCCATGGCGCCATTTGATTTTGTCGAATCCATAACCAGGCCACGGAAATGCGCGATCTTGATAGCAGTTGCGGCAGTGATAGCGCCGGAAGCATAAGCCGCGGCAATTTCTCCACTCGAGTGGCCCAAGGCGACGGATGGCCGGACCCCAAGGTCATGAAGGAAATCCACAAGGCCAAGTTGGATAGCAGTACAGAGAGGCTGAGAGAATCTCACCTTCTGAAATCGATCCACGTCGTTGGTGTTCAAGAGCTCCTCTATGGATTGTCAGAAAAGGACCCCGATGTCAACCTATCATTGGGACTTGCCTTCAATGCTCCAAGCAGGTGGGTTCTCAAGTCCGTGCAATACCTGGTCCAACGCCCGGATAGTTAAACGAAAACTCTCAGAATTCAATATCATTTCCCTACCCATGCCTGGCCATTGTGCTCCCTGCCCGGTAAATACAAAGCAAATCTGTGCGGAGACAGCGCGAGCTTTTTCGAACGTCGAAATTGAGCCGTCTTTCTCGGCTATTGCGAACGCTCGGTGTTGCATGTGCTCCCGTTTAAATGCCAGGGTGTATGACATGTCAGCCACTGCAGATGGAGTAGCTTCAAGGTAACTGTTGATTGATTTGATACTGCTATCAAGCGAAGTTGTCGACTTCGCAGAGGCAAGTAAAAGGTGAGGACCTGTCCCATTGCCGGAAACAGCCCTATGCATAGACTCTCCACACACAGAATATGTAGAATCCAAAACAAGCTGATGATATTAGCTGAAGATCTTGGAAGGGCTCGCAGGGAGGGATCTAGGACACACATGAGCATTGGTGCCTCCAATACCGAACGAATTGACGCTGATTCTTTCACATTTATCGGCCGGCCACGGCGTCGTATCGACAGGAACCTGCAACTTCGCTTCTTTGAAAGGAACTTTTAACATGCGAATTAGCATCATAAATTTTGAAGCAAGGGAAGGGATCATCTCACTGTTGGGATTCGGGTCCTTGAAATGTATGTTTGGAGGAATGGTCTGGTGCTCAAGTGCCAGGACACTTTTAATGACACCGGTAATTCCCGATGCACCTTCTGAATGGCCCAAGTTTGGTTTCACCTGGTATACGTCAGTCAATATATCACTAAACGTGGTTGTCATTCCTGAATATGAACCCACCGCTCCAATGTGTATGCCATCTTTACCAAACACCTTAGCAATAACAGATGTTTCCGCAGTATCCCCCACAATCGTTCCGGTTCCGTGACATTCAAAAAATGCCGTTTTAGCCAGATCAGCAATTCGTGCTTTCTGATAAGCCCTTCTAATGAGCGTTTCCTGTGCCTGGGAACTCGGAGTTGTGATGGTCGGTGTTTTGCCATCGCAGTTGACAGCTGTAGACCGGATCACAGCACGAACCGGGTCCCCATCTCTAAGGCAAGCGTCTAAGGGCTTAATATAGATTGCATTTACGGCTTCGCCTCTCCCATAACCGTCTGCTGCAGCATCGAAGGTTTTGGAAACGCCGCTTGGGGAGAGTGTCGTAGTCTCTGACATAGCGGTAGTTGTTGTTGGGGTAATGATTAGATTCGTACCAGCCACCAGCGCCGAGGAACATTCGCCTGCATACAACGCCTGACAGGCATCGTGAAGACCCACCAGCGCCGAGGAACAACCAGTTCGAAATGTGATGCTAGGGCCCCGTAGATCAAACTCATAAGATATTCGGTTTGAAAGAGCGAAATCAGCTGCGCTGACTACTCTATAACGGTCGATGGCCAGTGTATCCTTGCTCATAAGATCTAGCCAATCCTCTCCAAACACTCCGACGTAACATCCAATGTTCTTCCCTCGGCACTCGGCAGGTATCTGACCTGCATTTTCCATGCATTCCCATACAACCTCAAGCAGTATTCGTTGTTGTGGGTCAAGTTTCGCGGCTTCGATCTTGCTCATGCCGAAGAATGCAGCATCAACGTGTGATATGTCTTGTTGAAGGAAATAACCGTGTTGGGTCCGAATTGCACCAGGGCGGCTTTCATCGTAGAAAGCCCCAATGTTGTAGCGGTCCTCAGGAACCGTGCAACGGCCATCTCGCTTGTTGATCAACAAATCCCAAAGCTCTTTTTCACAGTTGACGCCACCGGGGAGCCTCATTGACATACCAACAATAGCGATCGGGAATGGGACTGGCTCGCAATTCTTGTCATTCTCGAGGTGTACTACATGGTCATGGTCATCTTTATAGTATGATAGAAAGCCTGCTGGCGATATGGTTGGATCAAGACCAGCCATCGTTCGATAAGAAATATTTCCGCCCGTGAAATGTTACACCTTAGAATCCGAGCACAGTAACACCGACAAATTATTGGGCAGCTTACAGGCGTGAAAGGGATAGACTAGTATTTAAAGACGATAATAGATGCAGTCTCGACCGAAACTTCATCGAGGACACCTAGGAGTTTTCCTGTGAAATCTGCACCCCAAAAAAGGGCTGGTCGCTAATAGCAGACTTTGTACTCTCAAGTAAGGAGGCAATCTAGTCGTTAGCGCAGTCTTGCACAGTTGCTGGACACAGGTCTACTCGCAGTAAAATAGCGGTCCAAAGAAGTAGCTCGAGCAAATTGCTCCGTGCAGAGTAAAAGAATTTTCCCATGGGGAAGAAAGACTATCTAGAAGGGAGGATCTAGAGCCTCTATATACTGCCCGAGGCTTCGCCTCAGGCAGGAATGCCTGCAAAGCATCCAGGAAGGTCCCTGGATGCCTACCGGAGGGTCCCTACATCTTATACTAACTAACCAGTACGTTCCTCCGGGACGTTCCTCCGCACCGGGAAGTTCCCTGGCTTCAGGAGGTCACACAGATCTCCACGAATATTCGTATTCGCAGGCCCGATATTCGTACGAATATTCGTACGAATATTACCCCACCCCCAATATGGATTACCACCCAATAAGAGAAGGCGTATCACGTGCGTTTATTTATTCAAGACGCGTCCGAATCTGACCTGTTCATTTCAAACTCCCATTTTCGATGACAGTTTTGGACTTCAGAATGTTTGATGCTGAATTGCAAGCTTCAAACAATGATGCTTCCAGCAGCTCATCTATCGAATGTCTACCACGCCCTCAACGGTCTCAGAGAATAGATTATTACCTCTTGAATGCCGGAAGTAATGAAGACGATATTAAAGATCATATCAGAAAGAAACCCCGATTGGACCCGCCACTGGATCGTTTAGAATTAATTGATCCAGAAGATTCGCCAGTCAGCTGCATCTCAATCTACCTACTCCTTCGGAATCTATTCCACTAGGGAGCTCTAGAAGCCTTACGGACGCGACACGGCCATATAAATCGCACAGCAAATCCCGCATCAAGCCACTGAATCAATGGCTTTAGAATCAATTTCGAGTCAGTCCTCTTCCAGGCAGGCTATGGCGATCTAGGCGAAGCTAGCAACTGCTTAAAGATCGAGAGATTTAATGTATTCATTGTAGTTAAAAAACTACAGATTCGGCGAGGGCAACATCGACAAGAAACATGAAGACTTACCTAGCCAAACACAAAAATTTTGAGAAGTACGATCCAGAGGAGCCATGTAAGAGTTTCAGTGAGACAAAACAGCTCTGGATTGCATCAAGATTTCAGTCCCGAGCCGAGCACGATACCAGAGCTCTATTGGAACAGAATATACTTCGATAGGTTATGACAGATGATAAAGCATTTACGGCAATTGAGTCCCTTGCGTTTTGATAGATATTTAAGGACTTACCGGATGTTCCCTTTCCATTCTCTTCTCGAACGGTTATCCGACGTATCGACGTAGATTTTGATCGTTATCAGATGCAGTTGATTGACGAACTAGCACGGACATATTCTACAATTGCGCTTTTATTGGATGTCTGGACAAGCAAGAACCACAAAGCTATTTTAGGAGTTATCGGTCACTGGGTGTCCACTGACTTTAAATATCAAGAGAGAGTGCTAGAGTTCAGCGAGCTTACTAGATCCTACAGCGGAGAAAATATAGCAGAAACTCTGCAGAAAATGCTTGTCGAGCTTTGTATTGAAGAGAAACTGCTCACAATCACAGCTGATAATGCGTCAAATAATGAAACACTGGCGTCTGAGCTATATTTCAACCTTTTGGAAGAGCACAAATCGGAGGATTCCAAGGTACCTGATAAAGGACGTCTCCGATTCTAAGGTATTGACAGTTACATCCGGTGCCTTGCACATGTCTTTAATCTTATTGTCCGCGATATCCTCTCGGGGATGAAATGTGGAGATCACAAATCTGCTATTAAAGCCTGTGGTCTCTTGCAGGGAAATAAGAAAATCAGACGGCAGTCCGCGTTAACCCGGATTCGAATTATAGCTCTCTGAATCTTGAGGATATTTCAACAATAATAACAATAAAAAATGACTTACCAAGCAAATAGCTTGAATGACAAGTTTATCAAGTATAATATGGAAACCCGTTAGATTTCTATATACCGTATGGTCCAGGGAGCCTTGTAAGCTAAAACACAAATCCAGAAGTGGATAAAGTATCAGAACCAGTTTCCGCCCTTTTCGGCTGACAACTGGTTACAGTTACAACAGCTCGAAATGATCCTCTCTAAGTTCGATGAGTTCACTTAACTAGTTTTCCGGCGACAATCCTAAATCAGCCTAGCTATTCCTATCTATTACGAACTGAACGATATGCTCGAAGATGCTGCTTTTGCACAAGGTAACTTTTTAGGGTTTAGCTCTGAAATTACGTCTGCTGTCTCCGCAGGGATAAAGAAATACAAGAAATATTATGAACTGATAGACGCCCAAGATATTTATTATATAGCTCTTGTCCTTGATCCACGTTTCAAAACCTTCTTGTTGGATAAGGAGCTTGGGCCAGTGACAGCACCAAAAGTAATTCAATCTATTAAGGATATTTGCACGAGCAATTCCCATTAAAACTGTCACTGGAGCAATCAATATCTAAACCTAATCAGGACAACAAGCGGCAAAGCCTAGAGGCTTGTATCCTGCAAAAACTGCAACTACAAGTGATCTAACGTTCAGATATTGACCGCTACTTTGAGAAAGGTGTAGTAACGGTTGATAAATCTATAACAAAAGATGAAGATTGATTATTTGCCTGGTAGAGGACGCACAAGGATGGGTACCCACGGATGGCAGCCGCAGCCAGGGATTATCTTGCTATCCCGGCAGCTGAAGTCGCAGTAGAGCGATTGTTTAGCCGTAGTAGAGATCTGTTAGGGGTACGTCGGCACTCTATGAAAGGTGAGACGATGCGGAAAGTGATGCTGTTGAGAGATATTTATAGTTTGGAGAATACCAAGTGAAGTCTCGTCCTTACCACGTGAACAAAATTACGAATATTCGTTATTCATGCCGAGCCCTAGGAATAAAAAGCGTGAATTCTAAGCTCTCTAGGAGATCACGAGGGAGGAGACTAACTACCTACTATGCAGGAAACAACTGCACTAAGCCCAAACTGGTAAGCAAGGGGGCCTACCCCCGCGAACAGAGTTGGACAGCGCTCTGTGTTTAGTGATAGGTTTACAAGCTGGGAAACTCTCTTAGAGAAAAGTCCAGTTCGGTTACGTTTATGATCAGTAGCAAGATCACAGTACCTGGTCCAGCAAAGTGTGGGCCCAGCTCTCAGCCATGACGCGGACATTGATGCAGCCTTCCCTCTCTACTTCTACAACCGGTTTCTCCCCAGTGAAAATATCAATCTCTGGCGGGTCTCTGGGTGCGCTCATCCTAGTTGAAGCTAAGGCCAAAGGCCTGAACAACTCGTTCGCCCGTTCCTCCGACGTAGCAAAATCAATCGATGACTACGACACTTATGGCATTAAAGAGCCAACGGGTCGCCTGCACACCATTAAGGCATTCACCGAAGGGAAACTCGAACAGACCGTGGCGGATATCATGAGTAGACATCCTGAACGGACCGCCAACATGCTACTCAGCATGTCCGCCATGGCGAGCCAGTATCCTCACACTGGCTTCTACGACTTCAGTTGGGTGGTGCCTAGGGGTAAGGAAGACACAAACAGAACCCTGATCGTGGACATCGGTGGTGCCAAAGACTGGACCCTGCAGGCCATCTGTAAAGAAGCCCCGGAGATCCTGATCAGTCGATGCGTGCTGCAGGATTTGCCAGTGGTGATCCAATTGGTGAAGACGGTTGGGGACGGGGATATCAGGAATGCGCAGTTGATGGCCATAGACTTTCACAAGGAACAACCCGTAAACGGTACGTTACGTCTTCCTCATGCCGAATCCATCCAACTGATAGGTCTAGGTGCATTGGTATACATGATGCGTCGAATACTCCGGGACTTTGGCGATGATGAGTGTGTGTCCATCCTCCAGCATGTGGTCGATGCCATGGCACTGGACAGTAAGCTGTTGATTGCGGATACGGTCACCGGGAATCCACCTTCCTGGTTTCCCTCCATGTTGGACTTTTTCTCTCCACCATCGGAGGCAAGGAACGAACAGAAGAGGACGTCCGGAAGATTACCGCACGGGCAGGACTGAGGATCACCGGAGTGTATTATTCGAATAAAGCAGAGTTCGCCATGGTCGAGTGTGAGAAGATGTAATACCACAAAGCCGGGGCAGAGATCGAGATAAGATAGGCATGCTCCGGATAAATGTGGGTAGATTCCTACGTGCATGCTTCGTAAATCTCGAATGCAATTCATGGTGTCTAGGTTGAAGCATATGCAGAAAATAGGATAGAAAACTAAACCAGATTAAACTCCTAATAAAGTTCCAAATTAAGGTCATCGTTAAACAAACAATCCAGATCCTCGCTGGCGCCAATATTGAAAGCATCCTGGGATGTTGTCTGCGCATGGATGTGAGCGACGACGAGGTAGTCCAGAATACTAGGTATGCTTACCATGAACTCCCAATCCTCCACCCCCTGTTCCGGCAGCGCAGCCGCCAACCGTTCCAGGATCGGCATACATCTCGCTTCCACATTTTCGACCGCCTGGATCAAGAGACCGGCGATCTCATCTCTCCGCAAGTTACTCCTCAAACCCTGAAACTGGGCTGTTATCATGCTTATGAGCAGATAGCCCTTCACATTCGTTTCCCCCGCCTCCAAAACCCGAAGGCACCACGCTTTGGCTTCCTCCAACACTGCCAGAAGGTCGGGTCGCAAGGGCACGGGACACAGACTCTCGTCCTCCTGTAACTGCATTCGGAGCTCGACGGCAATCAGAAAGGCCGCATGCAAGCTCACGGTAGGGTAAAAGCCGGCGCTACAGGTGGCCAATTGCCGAAATTCATCCACACTAGACATCATCGGTGTCGGGCAAGTCGCAAGCCATAACCGCAGTGAAGACTCAACCACCCTCTTTTTGGACAAAGCGAAATCCATGCCGTGCAATCCGGACCCAAAATACGGGGTGTGCAGCGATAACAGATACCGGTGCATGAGGAAGTCCACCACCTGGATCTCGTACTGAGAGGGACCGCCATAGTGGTTTACTGATCGCAGTGTGTGAACAAGCTCTCGGTACGCCCCCCACAGCTCAGCATCGAGACGGAGCGTCTCCTCATATGTCCTAGACGAACCCAGATCGTTCAGAAACTTGCAGAGTGCGAGCCGTTGAGGAAAGGTTCTACGGAGCGCGATCGCGGTGGAGGACTTGGTGAATCTTGCAGTTACCACAGGATCAGTTACCTCCAGCTGCTCGTCATCAAAGTTGCCTGGAGGGGCGGTGTCAAAATCGCCCAGCGTGATCATTGGTGACCCACCCGATGATAAACTCGCCTGGAGGTTTGCCTCAAGGATGGTGTTCCAGAGCCGGCGACGCATCTCGGCCACGAGGATTGTGCATTGGGGGAGATGACCTGGGTCACGGTGAAGGCCCATGTACATCGCATTCCGGAGCAGGGTGGCCATGGAGACCCAGGCGGACTCCTCCCCTGCATTCAGACGTTCCTGCGCAAAGAGCAGAAGCAGGTTATTTTGGATGGCCTGGATTGTCAGCCTAGCTTTAAACTTCAGTTGGGAAACTAGGAGCTGTGCCTCGTGGATCCATCGCAAGGCGGAGGGGCGCAGGGAAAATGTATCGTCGTATGTGACCGCGCCGATGGCCAGCACGAGCCGGAGCTGAGCGTCAAATCCCACGTCTGCTGGTTTTCCGTCTCTTAGCCAGAGTGCATCGTACTGTCTGCGAAAGGTGGGGACATGGAGGATCCGATAGATTGATTCGGTGGTGCGGAGGTAAGCATCGACGAGCTGGTCGGCGAGGTCTCGCGGAGGCAACGGGGAGATCGAGAGCGAGGACAACGATCGAGAGCGCCGCGCCTTGATGCACCGGGCCAGCGCCTTACACTTCTCCAAGCCAGCCCATGCCTTGGATGTCTTTGGACAGAGGCGGGGCTCGAGCATGGCCAATATATCTCGGATCTAGCCGTGTCAGTTCCGGCTTTTCCAGCCTCAGTATACACTGATCTTTGGAAGGCTCACCAGAAAGATCACACTGACTCCCCAGTGGCTCTGTCCAAATAATCGCGACTTCATACTGATACTGTGGGCGATAGTCCCCGGCTGACCATTCGCAGCTCTTCTGTAGTGGACGTGGAATGTCCCACTCAGACGGGAATTGGTGGTTTCGATGTCCAAGGATGGAGCTGGTCCCGCGGATAGAGATCGCATCAGGGTCGCGGTAGCCAATTTTTCCTCGAGCTCACGAATCCGAAGCCTCAAGTGCTGTGACTCCTCGTCTTGCGGGTAGACTTGACTGGTCGGCGTGGATCGGTCTGTCCAACTAGATGGCCCGCTGTGGAGGGCGGCACTCGCGTTGGATGCTCTGGCATCAGGCAGCACTCCCTGGGGGTGGTTGATGACACTCGGACCAGCATGGTTCTTGGGGGCAACAGGTTTGTTCAGGTTCTCGTAGATGCACGACCCGCTTTGCGACCGCAGACAGTTGCTGCAAGGTTGTTCGCGATTGCATCGTATCTTCCGTTTGCGACACAAGACGCATGATACTGCAGGACGTCGGCGTCTCTCCATTTCTGATGGGTAGCCTGCTAATTCGAGAGGGGGGTGCAGAGATGGAGGGATATAAAAAGGACTGGGGCTGATAAACCTGAGCGAATCGCAATGCCGCCGTGCATCCCCGAGGCTTTCCCCGCTTTTGGTCCGAGAATATTCTCCGTAGTGTGTAACGGTGATAACTAATGGTGCTTTTTATGACACTCAAATTCTACGATACCAGGGGTTTGACGACTCCGGCGTGAAAGAATCGGGAAATTATATCAACAATAATAGACTAACACCTTCTCGGCCGATTCCGAGTCCGCCCCGAGCCCGAGTCCGCCCCGAGTCCGTCGTATACTTCAGACCGTGATAACTATGACTTGGTTGATTATTCTTAAAGCGATTCCCATCTCGCTCATTTCTTTCTTTCAGAAACAACATTGATCTCCCCGTTGAGCACATCCAGTGTCATACTGTCATACCATGTCTTCAGCAGTACCTGAACAGGCTCCCGCCTCGCACCTTACAGACCAGCAGCCTGGCCGTGCCAATGTCTCGGAGAAAGGACCTCCTGACGCATCTGGGGTTGGATCAGCCCCAGATGGGGGCCTCCGTGCCTGGCTCGTGGCGGCTGGTGCGGCATCGGTCTTTTTCTGCACGCTTGGTCTCGCCAACTCTTTCGGCACCTTCGTAGAATACTATCTGACCCATCAGTTGAAAGGTGATACGGCTTCTTCTATCTCGTGGATTGGCTCCCTGCAATCCTTTCTGCAATTCTTCTCGGGCATGCTGGGGGGGCGGCTCTTTGATCGCTTTGGCGCCAATGTATGTCTTGTTTCCCACCCCCCCCCCCCCCCCTGGGGGGCCAACCCACGATATTCGCGCTGATTGAAGGAGGAAACAGGTCTTCTGGCCCTCTGCCATCTTCTACCTCTTCGCCATGATGATGCTGAGTCTGTGCAAGACCTATTGGCAGGCCATGCTCGTCCAGGGTGTTTTGATTGGCCTTGTCATGGGCTTTCTACAAATTCCGGCCTTCGCAGCGGTGTCGCAATATTTCGACAAGAAACGGGCTGGAGCCCTAGGCCTTGCCGTTGCCGGGTCCTCGATTGGCGGAGTCATCATGCCCATTATCCTATCCAAGGGGTTCAATGGCTCCTCACTAGGCTTCGGGTGGACGGTGCGCGTGGTCGCCTTTGTCATGTTGCCCTTCATGGGGTTTTCCTGCGTTACTATAAAGTCGCGTGTCCCGCCGCGTAAAACCCATTTCTTCCTCCTGGCGCCCTATAAGTAGTCGCGCTTTCTTATGCTCGTCACGGCGCTCTTCTTCATGTTCGTTGGAATGTTTACCCCGATGTTCTACCTTACCACCTACGCCACCACCCAAGGCATGGGAGCCACGCTGGCAGGGTACTTACCGGCCCTGGTGAATGCCGCCTCCACCATCGGCCGCATTGTGCCAGGAGTGTTAGCTGATCAGTATGGGCGCCTGAACACCTTCGCCGTTGGCGGGGTAACAACGGGCATTCTCGTCTTCTGTATGACCAGCGCCACCAGCAATGCCGCCTTGATTGTCTACGCCGTCTTCTTCGGGCTCTGCTCGGGTGCTATTGTCTCCGGCGCCGCGGCCACCTTCTCCAGCTGCCCCGACAACCCGCAAGATATCGGTACTTACATGGGAATGGGGATGGCCATTTCAGGGCTCGGGACTCTTGTCGGTCCCCCATCAATGGCGCCATCCTCGCTCGGTATGGGGGGTTTTTTGAATGCTGCATGTTCAGTGGTGCAATGGCGGTGTTTGGCGGCTTCGTTGCATTCGCTGCGAAGCTGAAGACCAAGGAGAGTCTTTGGGCATTGACTTGATTTCGGATCCTGTCTCCTCCGTCCAGTTTCTGTTTTCTATTTGGCTGATTGATGACCGATCTACTTTCTTTCTAGGTTTGCTTGTGTCTCTGCTCTTTCTTGTTTTCCCAGATGGTCAGAATGTATACTACAAAAGACCTGTTATCTGTCGGAGCCTTCCAGTATGGCTGCTCCACTAGTCTATATGTAGTTAGTGATCAGGTGGCGCACACTGCGCACTTCATATCCATCTCTGTATATTGAATCAAGCATCCCATTAGGTTAATCTGCGGCCACGTTCATCATTATCTTTCTTCTTGGTTCAGTGAACCCAAAGGTTACTATGCTCATTGAGATCATAGAACCCTAAATGATTGGCTTGTTGCTCTAATCGAACATATCTTTCACAAAGTGTTGCATACGTGCAGATTTGAAAATGGTGAAGAAGCTGATCCCCTAACTAAAGCCTGTCCAGGTGACTATAAGACTAAAATATGTCAAAAACTATACGATAAACCCCCAGGGAGCACAAAACAAAATACTGATGAACAGGGCCTTTCTACCAATCGTATTCGATTTCCTCTTCGGGATTAACCGTATATCTGTTGAATTCAGGTGCACTGCCATTTTGTTAAAGTCGTGTCTCCCTGCTTAACTTTGGCCTTCGCCAGGTAGTTGCGCCACGCTTCTTTCCGTTGCTTGGCATCTCCGACGTGGGATTCGGACACGGCCCAGTTACTCATGCTTTTAATGTCGGCCAACACCCGCACCACCTCGTCTGCTGACTGTTGAGTTGGCCCAGTCGGTGCGCCAGGCCACAGCAACATTGCCACGGTGGTCACTACCTACACCAGGATCTTTGCCAGCAGCGTCTGTTCGAACCAGTTGGCCGTCTCCCAGGCCTGGTCCACCATTGCCACCGAGACATTGGACAGAGCAGGGTCCACCGCTAGACGCGCGGACAATTCACTGCTATTGGCCTATCAGCATAGGTTTTTGGATAATATTGTAACAACCTTACCACCAGAGCATGGTGTCACTGAGCTTAGTTGTAGCGAACTTGGCAGTGGAACTCTCCCAGTGTTCCGTCCGGCGACTCCTATTTCCGACGACAATAATTCGGCCGCGATCCTGACCGATACTCTGCAGTAGGAGCAGACTCAGAAGAAAGGGCACCACCTCGTCTTTCTCGTGGAGGACTAAGGCTTGAATCGGCAGCAACGATCCAATAGCCACCCGTTGATTGATCTCTTCTGCTGCTCTGCGAACACCAGAGAGGTTAGTGTAGTCCAGCGTCAGGATCTCATGGCTGTGCTTGATGGACTCGAGGAATCCCCGCAGTCGAGTCTCGGCTCCATGCGCCATGGCGTACAGTCCGTGGGTGCTCTTGACCAAGTCGGGCCAGCGAAGTACGCTGCGGACAATCGCCGTGCCGAGGGTGACGGCCGTGCCAGTGACCAAGATCGAGCCCTTGATAGCGCCGATCCGCTGGAGGCGCTCTGTGTACCAGTCCTAGAACTATCAATCTCAGCACCGGTCTTTTCTCCGTTGAGACCCAAATCATCACCCACCCTCTCCGGGCCCACTCCAATGAGCTTCACCCCCATTCTTTTTGCCAGGTTACTCCCGGGTACTCTCCTCACATACGCCACAGCATCCTTATCAAAAACATCCTGATTCAGCAGCACCGTCCGCGGAAGCAACGGATCCAGCACCGACGGCCTTGCCAGCCCCACCAGATCACAACTCCCCTCTTTCAGGGCGGCCTGCATCCCTCGGCGTGAGCGAAACCCGCCCGTCAGAAGGAGTGGCATGTAGGGAAATTCGGCGCGCACAGCCTGCGCGAAGTCAATGAAAAATGCCTCCCGGGCCAGCGTGCTCGCCTTTTTCTCCCCCTCGCCTAAACCCGTGCTGAACATTGGGTCCTCGAAGCTCCCCCCCCGGTCACCTCAACGAAATCAATACCCGCCTGGGCACTGGCAGTCTAGCGGGGGCAACAAGACATCCACTACGAGTGAGGTATGACCACATGCTTAATCCACGCCGCTAAACCCGCATCTGAGAAAGAAGCGCAAACATGATGTCGAAGTAATCGGAATTTTATTTTCCGGAATATTCCGTCACCATTTCTGATGGATATCCCGTGGATACCCCGTATTCCGCTGGCAACAGACACTCCGGCCCCCAAGTCAGTCACCTCGACGGCCTCGGAAAACGTACCCAATGCCTCTATATCTCCAAATTAGCAACCTAAAATGTTGCTCTCTATCACAACCTACCACCATTTCCGAGACTCACAGCATCTGCCCACCCCAATGTTTTCGGTCCCTACTGAAGTGCCGAGTATCGGCGAGATGATCTTACCTACTGCGGTATTTGGTCTTCTCATCGTCGTGGTCACCATCTACAAGTTCGCCTTCGCGATCAGCGAATATGACAACCTTGGTTTGCCATTGGCCGGTGAGCCGGATGGCGCAAAGCGATTCAGTCTCAAGTCGCGCCTGCGATACTACTACGACTGTGCGGCTTTGTACACGGATGCGTACTACCGGGTCAGTCATCTCTTCGCTCCGGATAGAGACCAAGCTGATCGGATAAACAATTCGGCAAGAACGGCAGAGCCGCCCTGGTTCCTGGTTACGGAGGGCGAGCGGATCTGATCCTGCCCAAGAGTTCGACCGAATGGGCCACCGCGCAGCCTGACAGTGTGCTCAGCGTCTCGCAGGCCTTCCTGCAAGCCAACTTATCGTCCTACTCGCTGGGCCACTCACGCTACTGGGGCGACCCGTGGCAGTTCGCACTGGTCAAGACGCAGCTGAACAACATGATGAATTCGCTCATCCCGGCTGTCGACGATGAGTTACACCACATCGTGCCCTCAGTCCTGGGTACGGACACCAATTCTTGGAAGGAGGTGCACCTGGACGAGGCGGTGCGGATGATTGTGGCGGGCTCGTCCAGCCGGTTCACCGTGGGGTCGCCCCTCTGCCGCAACGAGGATTACCTGAAGCGCACCCTGTCCATAATCGACGGGGTGATGATCACCGCCATCATGGGCAACTGTCTGCCAGGTATCCTCCTGCTTGTCGCCGTCCGTCTGGCCAGTCTACACACCTGGCGCAACCTAAACAAGATCAAGAATCATATCATACTACAGTACCACGAACGACTGGCCGCACTCGAGAAGGACCCCGATGACCAACCTCAGGACCAGCTTCAGGTCATGCTGCGGTTCGCACAAAAGAAACGGCCCCGAGAGATCAACGACCTGGGCATCATGGCCACGCGCCTGGCGGCCTCCAATTTCGTCAGTATGCACCAGACGGCCGGTACCGCCGTGCAGATGCTACTCAACATGGTAAGCGCCCGCCGAATCGCCAGGTGGCGGAGTTGCAGGCGCCTCCGACTGGAGTCAAGGTCAGATTCAAGAGACTCGCTAAGCAGGGGGTAGAGCAGGCTCGATAGGCGCCTCTAGCAGCAGTTGTCAAATGGAATATGGCCCGTGCTCGAATAGGCAGTTGGGATTTCTGCTGGTGCCTTGTCTCTGTGCAAACCAGGGACGACCCGATACAAGGAATTCTGGTATGGGTTTTCGCACTGAAATCGAGCTGCGAAGAGCGTCGTTGATTGCATAGCACTGTAGTGTCTCGTAACTTGCTCTAGTTATGGATTGAAAAAGCACCAAAACGGGTCAATATCCACCAGATAACCTAGGCCTAGTTCTCGTCAGATAACGTAGATCTAATTATGTTCGAGCATATGCTTCGTAGTGGAAAAAGGCTCCGGGCATACTACAGTAATAAAGTGGCTTGTGCCGCAGGCTACGCCCCTATAATTAATAATATTTATATAGTCTGATACCGAGGCCTCGGGGGAGAATCCAACCCATGATAGGTAGTCCCGGGCCTGCCGGCCTTAAGCTACACCGTTAAAAATGTAGTATTTAATAATTGAAACTATTTAGTCCCATACCCTGGCTATGAAGAAAGGAAAGATCATTTTTAAAAAATGTGTGAAAAAGCGTAACCCTAGGAGTCTGAACACTCCGGAGTTTCGGTTATAGTATACAAATTATTGATATGTGCAGCGTGATAGCTACAGCGATTTCCTGCTGGGAGATTGAGGTTACTCACTCAGGGCACTTAGGGCACTCAGTCTTCCGCTCACTCCGTGCTCAGTGATCGCCTCAGGCCACTCAGAGTGTGCTCATATCTAGGAAAGCTGTCGCTCTGGCTAGAAATTCAAGTACATATGTCCAGACAATGACTTTATAATTCGTAGGTCGCAATAGGTTTTAAATTTTGTACCGGAAATATCATGACCTCCTTCTAATTCGCACAAAAGCCCGCTACTAAGCGGAGGCAGAAAATGCTTACTGTAGTCGGGCCTTAATCGCATCATCAAAAAAATTGTTGGTAGCTGCTCCTTGATGTAGATTCCACTATAGAAAACCATGGCGTTATGGTCCCCCTTGTACGCGTGGCTTTTCTCATCAGTTTAAATGTCAAATAACTTGTCACCTTTGATTTCTTTAGATGCGACCTTCAATTTCGAAGTATTATCCTCAAAATGGATTCAAAAAAAGGCCCCGAACCAGCAGAGACACGCCTTGATGGTAGTTTACTTGTTCAAGGTAATTCTGTTCACTCTGTTGGTATTCAAACCTAATTAATAATCAAAGCATATGATCTGAAAGTTCGGATTCCGAAGTACCGTCCCCTGAGAGAGAACCCTGGTCCGTTCGCATGCAAAACTCCTCTATCATCTGGTATGGGTACCTCGAATGTTGATAGAGGGATGAGACAACCCACATTGGACTTGGGCTACGACATCTGATGGCAGTTTCGCAAATAATCAATATTGCTTTATATGTTGTGATTAATTGCCCTGCGTGAATATTTTGTTCTGTATGTTAGCAGGCTGAATTGCCCACCTTATGCGAAAACAAGCAGTGTCTCAAAGAGGATGCCTAACCAGACAAACGGTGGGAAACGGCTCAACTCGGAATGGTTCAGGTAGTCTCGCACAATTTAGAATGCGTAAAAACCTGTAACAAATACCAATGCCATAATATTGTTGCAATCAAAGTGTGATCTTGTGTACATTATCCAGATGAAGCTTATACTTAGGAAACAAGTAAAAAACATGCTCGCAGCCAGGGCAATCACAAGGACGACCCTTGGGAATTTTTGACGGCAGTTCATGAGTCCCAAAGTGCTTCTACAATGTATCTTTTGGCGCGTATTGATATATCCTTGCTCTCTCATGTTGGTGGTCAGAACGCCCAAGACTTGTGTGCTCCCCGCTCTGCGTGAACAAGGGCCATGCTATGTTTGTGGTCCCTTTAAAGTCTCTCCAACCGAGGAGCTTTGCAGTGGAATTCATGTTCCTTCTGTTTACTTGAGAAACGGGCCTCCTAGGATTTGCAGATCAGAGGGCGGCTATGAAAAATTAAGTCGTGCTGAAAGCCCGCACTGGTATCTAGCTCAAAATCACATGAACATGCCTCCAGCATGTCCCTTCGATTCCATTATGGGCTAGAGCTTATTTCTATCAGCTGCGGAGGTTGAGCCTAGCGAAATGTAGGGGAGGTAGTAAGAAGCTACTGTTCATCACCTTTCTTGAGGCAGGGTGTAAATCGTAGTTTAAGTGCGAAAGACCCTCAAGGGTACAGCATAGCATTTTCTATGTCACCCGCTAAGATAGCTGCTGTTTCTTCTGTGTCGTACTCCAGTACACTTGTATGGAACCTTTACTCCTCCCAGGGAACCTCTAGTCAAATCGTTTAATCACTTCTAACCAGGAAAGGGATTCTTCCTCCCTAAGCTGTACTAGAAGGCGATTCTCCTCTGTAGACCAAGGTAATCCTTTTCTTGAGGAGCAAGTACGTTTCCTATGGACAATCCCGGTGCCTACGATTGGTTGTTTAGCTGATGAAGTCGTGACTCCCTCCTCTCTCGGGATGCCCTTCGATGCTAATGTACCACTTGAGCGGGAGGGCATATTAAAGCATTGAGACAAAGCACCCTCAAACAGCTAGGACAAAAACTCTAGCCGCTCCTAGACTGGTAGAGAAGAAAAATGATTCCGAAGAACAGAAAATGACATTTTAACGGAACCGTTCGCTTGGGTCGTCAGACTGGTCTTATTCATGTGGCGATTGTCTACGACAAAAGCCACCTTGCTGATTCTGGACCGCTTACGCATGGGTTTCGGCCTTTGCGAACTCGTCCGTATGTTGTTGCCACGAACATTCTTATCCGACGAACGAGGAGGGGCCACAGCGCGCGAGGTCTCTTTTCTTCTTGGTGGGCTCTGCTCAACATCTGCGGAGCGATAATCGTCCAGGATCGCTGGGTCAATTGTTGCATCGCACCACTCGCCGGCCAGACTAGAACTTCCAGTATTGCCAACATGAGAGTGCTGACTGGCAATGCAAGCGAGCTTTGGGTCGCCCAAGTCAAAATCGAGGGGGTACTGAGACTCCGGGCCCAGATCATCACATATACTGGGATGGTCCTCGCCTCCGGGGCTTGGTAAATCTTGAAGTTGCAAAATATCATCGAAGCCGAACGCCTCAACTCCGAGGCTAGCGCATGATGTCTGATCCCCCACAGTGGGTGGGTGCTGAGTGTTTATCTCCTGTGGCTGGCTGTCGTTCAAGCAAACCTCCATCGGCGGTCGGGGAGGGAGGGGGTGCCTCTCAAATTTATAAGAACGAGTAGTGCCGAATGACAGACGGATTCTTCTCGCCAGTCTTGGAGATAGCTATGTTGATACAGGTGCTATTCAGGCCCGTCTATAGTTCTGGTGCTGCCCCGGTGAGATATCCGAATGTTTTGAGGCCGTTAAATAAATAGCCTCAGAAAAAACATTATATGTGTTCCGGGGAACGGTTTCCATTCTTTTTTGCCCGATTCCTATCTCTTTATGATTTTGGGGATAGCTACTCCGTACACAATAGAGACCTTGCTAGCCGTGACTGGTTGGATCTGAGAATGACTAGCGATTGCTCTGGTTCCGAATTCACTAATTATATGCAATGGAGAGTGAATAATTTGATCTTGGTGTATATGACCTGAATCAGTGCTCCGTATTTGTTTTATCATTATTGATCAACTTATTGACTCCTAAGCTATAGGTAGAGCAAGCTGTGGGCCCATCTTTCTATGTATGTGGCTAGGGGTTAGGATACGAATTAAAAGGGGTCGGTATTTTCTGCACTCTTTCACTGTGACAATATGCGATAGCTAGAGTTCCTGCAAGGGGCTCCTACCCATATGAATTTGAATATGGGATCTCGCCGGCTCCCTTTCATCGATCAATTTTTACCCAAACTAAAATGCTATCGATTCAGGGTCGGCATGCTCCAATCCAACAAATCTAGAGAGAACCTCCATTCTCGTTATGCCCTGTTCCGGACAGATTTCTCGTCTGTTGCCGTCGCTTTGTTGAATCCTTCGTGTCGCGACGCTGTCGATTCCATCAGCAGAATGTCCGGTCATATCATCAAGAACATGCAAAAATATGCCTGCGAAGCTGGTTGTGAGCCCGTCATCAGCCAGTGGGACAGCGATGTGAAGAACAAGATCGTCGACTAATTGATCGAAGATGGAGTCCAGTACACCGGCATCGATGATCCTGTGGCCCAGAAGAAGTTCGCCAAAGGTATCAATGAAGTGTTCGTGACAGTGACCACTAAATGTGAGGACAAATTCGAAGACAAGCACCTGTGTCAAGACCCCGACAGTCTGAACCCTCTCGTGCAATGTATCGACGACAACTCACGCCCTGCGGTTGTCAAATCCCTTAGTGGATTGCATCCCCACATGTCGGATAAGAGATGCAGAGCAGTGGCCGATTACTTCAACAGCGACCAATTGTGGAAGGAGGACTTCCCGGAGCATTTCAAGGAATACGTCAACCAGTGCCATGACCTGTGATGGGGCTGTCAAACAAGGAGAATTTGTGGTTGTGATTCGATAGTACTACACCTGACGGCAGCGGCATGTTCTGGCGAGAAGGAATGGTTTGAGCGTGTGGGATTGAAGAGCTAGGGCTGTTCATTTGATTCGTGTCTTTCACATGTCCTCTTGTCTAACCAACAACATCTGCTTCCTTAATTGTATCTTAACATCTATTCTCGCACCGCTGATTGGCCGATTCGAAAGAAAAAAAAAAAGAAAGAAAAAATTTAGACCCGACTTCACTGCTGAGTGGGTACAGAGTAGACCACTGCCCAATTTCGCGTAGAAAGCAAGAGCTGAAGACAGGGATATGTAACACTGCAAATCAATTCTCAACCGATGCGCAACTACAGTAAAAGCAGCTGTTCCTCCCTCTCCAGCCTTATTCCAGCTGTTCATTCGGCCAGGTTGGGGCTATGGCAGTAAATCAAACCTGTTCGATGCAAGTCAATGACAGACAGATTTGAAAATAACAACTAGATCATTCACTTCCCACATTCCTATGCCAAAGAGGTAAGCTAAGGGGAGTGGGTTTGAGCTGTGCAGGTGTGACAAGTCTACGGAGAAGAAGCCTGCAATTTGTTATGCATTCGGCATGCAAGGGGTGAACAGCGGTGAACATAAAACTGAATGGCAAGATTGTGATCGACAGTTTTATGTATGTCCACATTCACACCACTAAATGATTTGTTTATCAGATAGGTCATATCCTCAGATATGATATGGCAGGGTTGGGCCTTTGAATTACGCAGATGCCCAGTCCGTCACCAAAGATTATGCTTTAGAAAAAATAGACCCCTATCTTATAGATGATATAGGCTCCGATTCTCGGTAAAGCATCTCCTGGTTTCTGTATGGTGGGATTCCATTCTTCTGCTCCTACATTCTGCGATCCTGTATATACTTCGCTGAAGAATTTCTTGCGCCTCCTAGCTTTCGCCCTTGCAGTCTTAATTCTGGTGATGAACATCATTTGATTATTCACGACCTTGACGCTTCAGAATCCTAGTTATGACCCAAGCCCGTGTTGAGACATCTCTATTCTCAATTCCTCGATTGTCGTGTTGCAAGGCTACGTACCGAACGACCTTTTCTAACCAACCATTAGATAGTTTATGCTTCATATGTTCAAATTACTTCTCTTGTCCGTAGTATCAATAACTAATAATACACACTAATCACATAAAAATTATAACATATCAAATGCGGTTACGGAATTTAATTCCTCTCCGGCCAAGCATCGAACAGTCCCTCGGACACGGAGACTTTGCTGAACTGCACCTCCCCAAGACCGTTGTGAAGGAACTTGATGTCAGTGGAGTTAGTGTACCACGACCTAGATTAAAGAAAAGAAATATTAGTCTGTCTGTTTGCCTATGGTATTTGAATAGCCAGGGGAAATAACTTACCGAGCCCAAGTACTCAACGCGAACCGACCGTTGGCAAACACCTCCAGAACACCGTTATCCACGACGATAGTCAAATCCAAAGACTCGATCCTCTCGGCACCGTCCTCAGCGACGTCAAATAGACGGAGACGACCCGCCTCGTTGTAGCTGGTGATGCCCAGGGTAGATTCAGCAGCAGCGCTGGTGCGGCTTCGGTCGATGATGATCGACTCGTTCGAGAACTGGTAGTAGATGTTCGTGTGCTCGTATTCCGAGGACAGGATCTGGAAACCACTCTTCAGGCCCGAGGTGCGCGCGGATTTGGGGAATGTGAGGTTGGCGCGCAGCACGAAGAACTTGCTCTCGGGGGAGTTGGCGAAGGGAACTGGGGTGGATTGGTTGGTGAGTTTGCGAGCGGGCTCGTCGGTCGAGGATCCGGAGAGGAGACTATCGAAGGTCTCTCGTGCGATGTCGATACCGAGGGTCTTCACCTCAACGGTTCCGGACTTCGCGGAGTCTTGCACGCGCCATGACGCGCCGGTTTCCCGGGCGAGGTCGTTGTCGACAACGTTGGGGATGCTCAGGGTGTGGAGTTCACGGGGAAGCAGCAGGGTTCCGGTCCAGTTCTGTTGGTGGGTAGGAAAGCCCTTAGCTTGCTCGAACTCGTCGCCAGTCAGCCAGATGTACGTGATGAAGCGCGCAGGGGCGCCGCTCTTCTTCGCGGCTTGGGACTCCGCCGTCACGATCTTGCCGGCACCCGCGTACGCGGAGACACCCCAGTCCAGGACACCGGCCATGGTCGGGGTAAATTTGATAGATCCGTTGTTGGAGACCTGTCCGGAGATCCAGAGCATGTCGTGGATGGAGCTGAGCTGCTTCACGATGGGTGCGTCGGAGCCCTCGGTTCCAATCGTGGTGAAGATCTCACCCTCAGGGTCGTATCCCTCGTCGTTCAGACTGAAGATGTTGGCCACTTCGAAGTTGAAACCCCAGCCGCCGGCCCAGGTGCCGTCACCCCAGGTCGTGTTGACGCCCTCGCGCCACCATTCACCCAGGTACTCCCAGTACTGGAAGTCCGGGTCGGTCTGACGGTACAGGAACTGGCTGGGACCGACGTTGTGCACGCCACCAGAGATCACAGTGTACCAGGTTCCAAGGGTGCTGTCGAGGGAAGAATCCAGCTTGGGGTTCTGGAAGACGTAGGGATCGCGGAAGGCGGTCACATTCAGGCCGAACGGCGCATCAGGGATGACGGGGCCCTGGTCCACCTTGGTGAAGTTGCGGCCGCCGTCATAGGAGACAGCCAGAGACTGGGTTTCGGCACCACGGGTGTAGGGGATGGACCAGTGGATGGGGAGGAATGAGACGGAGGTATACAAGAAGGTGGGGGTTCCGTTGATTCCGCTAGGGATGACGGAACCGTCGAAGACAGCAAGAGGGTCATTGATACCGCCGGGCACAATGGCCGGTCCACCACCGGGGTTCAGATCGCGATAAGTCGCGAGATCATCGGTCGTGGCACCTCCAACGCCCGTTCCATTGTGCAGCCAGCCAACGTGGAACAATCCCGTCTTGGGATCGGTGTACTGCATGCAGGGATCACCAATCTTGCCCGAGGGGGGCAACACGTGGGCGCGAGGTCTCCATGTCTCGTAGAGGGAGCCGTTAGCCAGAGTTGACAGGTTCGGGGGCGCCGCGTTGTAATCGACGGCGTCGACGACCTGGCCGGCGACAAGGAGAAGCGCAGCTGACGAGGGCTTCATGATGAAGGTGGCGATTCGGGTCGGGATGAGGACGGAATCATTCTGCGAACAAAGGTGTGGGGAGCAGGTTCAAGTACCTCTCAACATTCCGAGGAGTTGGTGTCGGTAATTATCCGAGGATCATTAAGGTGCGTTGGAGGCGACACACTAGATGGCAAACGTCGGGGAAATGGCGGGTTTGGAGTTCACCCAAGGGAGGTGAAGCTGTTAGGGTTGGGAGATTCTCCGAGGATCCACCAGGAATTTCCCGACATTCCTCTCTAGCTTCGAGTCAAGGGAGCAGTCGAATTCTTCACGAACACCAGGCTATTAACAAACTTAATTATAATCTGCATTCAAGCATCTCCACTTACTGTTGAGGAGGGGCAAAAAGTGAAAGGTCTGTCCGAACTGGAAGATGAAAAAGCTTGGAAGTATCTAATATGCCTTCAATTCTCCGACTAATCGCCTCCGGATGGTGAACTGCCTTGCTTTTTTGCTCCTACAGTCTTAGGGAACCTGTACGTAGGGTATAATGCTGTCAGGTCCAATCTAACTACAGGTTCTTCTCACTTGAACCAACAATTCTCCGAGCTCCCGATTCCAGGTGCGGAGAACCATGTGCAAATGTCCATCTTGATCAGTGATCACAGACCATGTCGATTGCTCCAAGTTTCAATCTCAAACATTGGTCCCAACAGTTTGGAAGAGATTAAGATATATTAAGCCGCGTGTTTTTCCATTTTCCTGGAATTGCGTATGATATCATTAACATCGAAGGAGCATCCCTCCTGCTCAATTTACCACCAGCTCGTAGACATGCCCTAATCCTAATCAACCCACCATCAACATGCTGCAAACAACAGCGCCCCAAAAAATCAACATATCTCAATTTCATCACGTCGTGGCTTCATTTTTCTCTGTCTGGGAATTATAAGCTAAACTCCAGTCGATTTCCGGCATAATCCCTCGCAAAAAACCTCGTCGGATATTCCACGCCCATTTCGCCTGCCCATTGATTAGATCCTCAAGATACAGACCCCAACAAACATAAAAAACAAAACAAAGGAGCGGGAGCTCACCGGAAATATCTTCTCCTGGCTTATCCGCCGCCAATGGAGCCGCCTTTCCTCCGCGTACGTGATGCTCGTAAATACGTTGCTTCAAGGCGTGCAACTCTTCGACCGAGCTGACCCGAAAGCACGGATGGCGTGGCGAATCGGGCTCGTTCTCCCCGAATGCGATATGGACTTGTTGACCTCCATCTGAGATGTTGAACCTATATTCACTTCTTAGATGTTTTCTCGAAGAAATAATCGCAAATAACAAACAGTAAGAACGTGGAATGTACCATGCCGTCGTCTCCCTCTGCAGCGGAGGTACAGGCACCGCCGTTAGACCCAACGTGCCCGTGTAGAAGAGGTTGGCTTCCTCCAGAGTGCCGGGCGGCACGAGGAGATTGACGTGAGCGAGACCGGCGATCATTTTGTTTTCTCGATGGTTGGCTTGGAGGATAGTTTGAAGGTTTAAACGAAGGTGGTTGGCAAAGCTTCACCGAGTAGCGATGGTGATCGCTCTTATCGATCGTCGGCTTCTGAAGCTACGGAATTCTGTTCCCGGAGACGCCATCCTACCCACATTTTGTGCGCATTTTGAGGTCTGAGGTAGCCTTCTGAGGTCCGTTGCATTTGTAATCCGACTTGAGGGGATCTGCAGTCATAAGGTGAATTTGGATAGAAATTTGGATAGATTGTACGACTGTGGCAACGCGCAGTCAATTGCCGATGCTCACATGAAGGGAAAAAAAGGTTTATTGTGTTTGTGCGATGATGCTTCAGATTATAAT